AAATCCCTCCAAGATGCGATTTTTTAAAATTTATTTATCTGTTGATAAATTTTTGACCCAATATCTTGGATTGGGCCCAATATTTTGGGCACTTATACCACATGTCTGAACGCAGAATTTCATGGGGATTACGAATTTGATACTGAAAATTAGTGGTCTCATTTAAGAAAACCACTTTTTTCATTGTAGGACCCAACATTGGGCTCCGGGCCCAATTTTTTTGTTTCAAAGATGTACATCTTTTTGTTTGAAACAACTTTTGTCTTGAACATTTTTTACAAAAATTCGTATTTTTCGAGATATTTGCAAGTTTTCATACTTTTGGAACACCCTTTATATTTAAATTTAATAATTAAACTAAAAATATAGAATTTTATTCAAGAGTAACTGGAATTATTATAGTTTAGTAATTATATGTGTTTTTAAATAAATTTTAACATAAAATAAATTATTTATTTATTTAATAATATATCTAGGTATAATGTGACGCGTTCTGAAGAAAGGGACCTTAGAAGCAAACGAATTATAGGTTATGTTATGTTTAATTTGAAATCAATAAGTGAAAATAACCTTAAAATTTAGGTTATGTTTAAGTTCTATCATTTTACCATAGACTTAGGAGATGGATTGAAATTTTATTTAATTTGGTAAAATAATAATAATAATAAATAAAATTATTATTATTAAATTATAAACAATAATATTATATATAATATATTTGTAAGAAATTTTTAATATTTAGATTGAGTAACATTGCAATTTGACTGTGATTGAAGGTTACGCGTTTTGTATTAAAGACGACATTTCCGATCAGGAAATGAATCATTTCAGTATACATATAAGATATAAATTTCTGTTGCATTCATTGCTATTTGAAGCATAAAAAATTTATACATATATATACATAATGATGAATATTAGCAACACATTAAGATAATTATTATTTTCAAATTTTATACATATCATTCATTTTAATGATATTTGTTTTATACTTTGTTTTAATTTGTACTACACTTTATTAACCCCTTCGCAGTCTAGTAGAAAAATCGTTTTTATGGGCCCAAAACGGTAAAAAAAAAAGTTTCCAAAAAAATATCATATCATAGTATTAAAAGTTTTTGGGGTCGCTGAACCCAAATTTAAGGTCAGATTTAAAAAATTCAAAATGGCAGACCCAAGATGGCGGAAAAATTTAAAATTGATTCGATTCGTTCAAAATTTCGTAGTCGGAGGTTTTTGGGATAGCTGAATCCAAATTTGATGTCAGATTTTAAAAATTCAAAATGGCGGACCAAATATGGCCACCCAATATAGCGGAAAAAATTTAAAATTGATTCGATTCGTTCAAAATTCGGAACTCGGGGGTTTTTTGAGTCGCTGAATCCAAATCTGACCTCACAATTTGGATTCAACGACCCCAAAAATCCCCGAGTACCGAATTTAGAACGAATCGAATCAATTTTAAATTTTCCCGACATATTGGATCCGCCATTTTGAATTTTTAAATCTGACCTCAAATTTTGATTTAGCGACCCAAAAAACCCTAAAGCAACCATTTTTATGTAAATCTCGTCAATTTTTAAATTTATTGGACGCCATATTGGGTCCGCCATTTTGAATTTTTTAAATCTGACCTCAAATTTAGATTCAGCGACCCCGAAAACCTTAGTATATCCATTGACACTCAAATCGAATTATGTTTAGTATTTTTTTTCTAATGTGGACATATATATGTCCAAAATCATAAAGGTGGCACGACTTTTTTTTGGACATATATAGACCATCAACTGTCAAGGGGGTTAAAAAATTTTTTTTTTAAATTATAAAATATATTTTTTAAAAATTGTATTAGATCACAGTTTTAATTACCTACTATTTTTTTTTAAATTTTATTTTAATTTTTTAATTAAAAAATTTATAGACATTATAAATTAATGTAATAAAATTGATTTATTTTTGTTATCTCTTTTTTACATATGTAACTATATATATACATAAACGAAAAAAAGTGTTCGTCACACATGGAAAAGCCCCAATGTAAAATGTAAAATTTTATTTTTAAATTCATTGGAATATTTATTTACAATTATTTATTTACACTTCATATTAATTCTGAATAGTGATTCAAAGAATAAATTTAGTGTTCCATTTTGAATTGAAAAAAAAATATATTTTAAAAAAGGAAAATTAAAAAAATTAAAATATTTCCTATTAAAACAAATAAAAATTTTAATTTATTTTTTATTATTTCATGACTTGCATATTTTAATTAGTAACTTTCACCATGTATGTATATATAATTGTGATACATATATAGAACATTATTTTCAATATTATTATTATTATTATTATTATTATATTTTATTATTTTTATTTTCATTATTATTATAATACCACTTCATGTAGTATATTCCATATAAAAAATTCAAATTCCCTTCCAAAAAGAGAAGCAAAATATTTCCGTTCTACGAATTCATTGACAAAGCGGTATTATTGGAGAAATTTTAAAAACTGATTCCAAAATTATTATAAAGAATATAAATAATTGAATAATTTTTAAAAATACATATATTTTTTTTTTTTGATAAATTCTTCAACATTTAAACAATCAATTTTTTTAATATATTGAAGAATTAAAAAAATAATAATAAAGAATTAAAAAATTAATATTAAAGAATTAAAAAATTAATATTATAAGAATTGAACAACTAATTTTATAAAATTGAAATTAAATTTTATTTATTATTTTATAATTAAATTACATAAGAAAAATATTTTGTTTCTATCATAAATAAAAAAAATCTTCTTTCAATTACAGATATTTTTTATTATTTCCTTATTTATACGCATATAAATTTTTTTAATTCAACATAAAATATCGAACTTTGATAAAAAAAAATTTCTTCTTTATTACGTAACAAGTTTTTTTTACTTAGAAGAAAATAATAATGAAAAAAGGAAAATCTCTATTTTAATACTAATTTATTTTTGTAACAAACTTTTCTCTGGTTCTCTCATTGGTATAATTTTCAAAAATAATATGACTTAAAACCGTTCTTTTAAAACTTTTTCCAAAATTTTGTTCTATTTTTTCAAATTATTCATCAATATTCTAATTAGAAACTCTTAATCGAAGAGGAAAATATTAAAAATACTTTTGACATTTTTCTTTAAAAAAAAAAATTAAATAAAATCACGAAGCTGAAATACGCAACATTTATGATGATAAACGATTTTTAAAGAAATAATTTTTTTAAATGAAAAATTCTATAATTTTTTGCCAAAAAAAAAAAAAAAAAATTTCCTGTAGTTTTCATTAATCAACAAATTATAAAAAATAATTTTTTTTTTGGCAAAAAATTATAGAATTTTTCATTTAAAAAATTATTTCTTTAAAAATCGTTTATCATAAACGTTGCGCACTTTAACTTAGCATAAAATCTATGATTTTTAAAGAGAAATATTCTTATTCTAAAAAGATAACGTGAAAGATTATTATAGAAGAACAATAATCAATATAAGATTACTTTCAATATAAGATTATTCTCAATATAAGATTACTCTTAATATAAGATTACTCTCAGTAAAAGATAAAATTTTTTCTGTGTCTAACTATAAGTAATGTTTGTATTTCTTTAACAAATATAAAAAAAATTGAAAAACAAAATTTATTTTGATTTTTTCAAAAAGGTTTTTTTAAGCATAAAAATTAAATTGACCCGCAAAGATTATTATTAAAATTATAATATTAGTGGTGCAATGTATATTTTATTGATACTCATTTATTATTATTCACAACTGAAACTTAATTATGCGATTATTTTTTTTTTCATACAAACTACACTATTCATGACTCATTTTCATTGTCATAAAAAAGACCTCAAATAAAAAAATTATCATATTCTAATTTTTTCTTTTTTTTCTGTTTTATTTTTTTCTTTTTGAGAAATTTGCAATACAGCTTTATCAATTATAAAAAAATCTCTCGTTCGCTTTCAGTTTCATGAGTCAACTCTCGAAAATTGACCTTTGAATCTGAAAGTAAAATTTAGAAAGGGAAAGGAACTTTCTCATCCATATTCATCCTCTTTTAAGAACAATAACAATGGATAATAATTTTTTTTATTTATTAATAATGTTTTTTTTTCTAATTTTAAAATTTAAATTTAAAAAAAAAATGTATAAATTAATGTGCGACGTTAAACCAGAAATTTTCAAGTGTGTAAAAAATTAATTTCATATTCAGACGTTTCCTTAAAAAAAACAGAAAAGAAAAAAAAACGATGGCATGAATGATAGTTTCATTATCACTTCAAGTATAAAATATTTTAACGATTAAATCGATGATTCTGAACTTTATTTTTTGAAAGATTTTTTTTTTTTTTTTTTTTTTTTATTTGCAAAAAGAAGAAATAAGTGTAAAAAATATAAATGATCCTAAACTTTAAGCGTAAAATAAACAAGATTTTTTTTTACTTCTATATATTCGATTGAAGAATTATTATAATTTATCGTGGACTTTGCACACATCTTTTCAAATATATACGCAGTTTCACTCTTTGTGTCTCAAACTTTCAACGATTGAGGCTTTGTTAAAATTGTATTAAATGCATATATATATATATATATATATATATATATATATATATATTATTTGTCATTAATTCATAATTTAAAAAAAATATTCGTTTTGATAACAGAATTTTTTACTAAAAAAAAAGAATTTTGTTTTAATAACAGAAATTTTTTTCTTTACCAAAAAATTAAATCAAAATGATACTTCGACAAACAAAATAAAATTAAAAAACAATATTAAAAGAAAAATAAAAAATTTATTTGGCAATTTTTCTTAAAACATTAGTAAAAGTAAATAAATGTTTCTTTTTTTTTTTTTATTAAATTACTGAACAAATTATCTAATTAATTTACTAATTAATTATTTAAAATTTCATATATTTAATTATTAAAATATTATATATAATTTTCTCAATTTTTTTTAGATGTCAAAACAATTCTTAAGTCTGTCAGTGGGAGACTTCGATCGGGGGAGTTAACAGCAATAATGGGACCATCTGGAGCAGGAAAATCGACTCTACTCAATATCCTGACAGGTTACAAGTGAGTTTTGTTTTAAATTATTAAAATTCCTTAAATTATAAAATATTTATTTTTCATAACAAAAAAATTAAAAAAAAAAAACAACAGAAATCCAATTAAAATAAGGAACAATAATTATTATCGGTGCACGTAGAGAAATCTTTTATTTGCATTTATTTGAGACAAATAAAATTTATTCGCATCAAATAAATAATAATTTTTTAAATTTTAAATTATTAAATAATTAAATTTTTTTAGAAAAATAAATTTTGGATTGTTAAATTTTTCTTTTTTTTTTTAATTAACTCTAAATATAAAATAAATATATGGAGAGGAGATATTATAATTTTACGATAAGATATATGTACAAAGTGCTTGACTGATCTTTAAACATTCTTGCGAGAATATATATATTGTTCATTGCAACTTGTTTAACAAGATCAATATTTACATCAGGTACATCCACTTTTATTCTCACAAGTATTCTCACTTGGAAAATTCAAATAACATTAATAGTCTTTACATTTGATTATAATGTGTGACACCTGTGGTGAATTATGCAAAAAAAACTACTGTGTGAATATTAATATTTTTAATTTAAAAAAAAGAAAATTAATTTACAAGATAAATGTACACTGAAAAAAAATTTTATTTGATTAAAATAATCAGTTACTTAACAATTATGAAATAAATATTTGTTTGAATTAAATCATTTTTTATTTGAATTAATTTATTTAAATTAAGTAAAAATATTTACTTGAAGTAAGTAAATATTTACATGAATTAAGTAAATAATTATTGGAGTCAATTAATTTATTATTTGAATTAAATAAATATTTGTTTCAAACAAATAATTTTCTATTTTGACTAGATGTAGATGTAGATTTAGGTTGCTGTATAAAAATAAGCAGCTCTTTATATTTGAAAAATTTTGAAACTTATTTGTGAGAGAAGCACGCATTCTCCATCTAGCGGGAAAATTATAAACTACGGATAATTAGAAAAAACCGCTCTGTAAAGTCACGTGTAGTTCACATTTTTTCCACTAGATGGAGAATACGTGCTTCTCTCACAAACGAGTTTCACCATTTTTCAAATATAAAGAGCTGCTAATTTTTATATAGCAACCAAAATCTACATCTAGTCAACCAGTGTCTTTATTTTTAAAATACTGATAAAAATTAGAAGTATATTTAGTATAACACACAATAATTTTTTTTTTTTAATTCTGATTTTCCCAATCAGCAAAATTCTAGTGAAAACAAAAAATTTTAAAAAATATTTCCTGATTTTTGAATACAATTTATTTATATATCATTGAATAATAATTTACATAAAGAGTCAAAGAAGAAATTTATGTCAGTAGCTCATAATAATTGATGATAGTGCTTATCAAATTGTGCCATGCGATATTTCGCGTTGACATTTCCGATTGAAAATGCTCACTTCTAATATATGTGTTGTATATACACGGATAGTATCGAAATTTAAAAAAGGCCAAATATCTATTTACCCTAATTTTAATAGATAAAAAATTTTCTTTAATTTTAATTTTTATTTAAGAAAAAAATTTTTTTTTTCTAACATAATATTTCTGTTTCACTAAATTTTAAAGCATTTATTTATGTCCAAAACAAATTTATAATAAAATAAAACAATTATAAATATTAATATACAAAATTTTTAAAGATACAATTTTCAAAAAAAAAAAAAAAAAATGATTTTCAACACAAAATTTTTTTGTCAAATAATTACCCAGACAGCACGTAAGCTTGTAGCAACCTTGCGGCAATATTCCCAACCTTGCACGGCAAATTTGCGGCAAGCTTACTGCAAGCATCAAATGTTCCACCTTACCGAAAGATTGCAGTGTAAGGTTACTGTAAGCTTGCACAATAAGATTATCGCAAGATTGCTCAGTAAGCTTGCACGGTAAGCTTGTAGCAAGGTTGGTGCAAGGTTGCCAAATAACTTTGCTTTAAACCTATTTTTTTTAAATGTTTCGTACAATTTATATAATAAAATTATATAAATTAGACGAAACATTTTTAAAAAAAATTAGGTTTAAACCAAAGTTATTTGGCAACCTTGCACCAACCTTGCTACAAGCTTACCGTGCAAGCTTACTGAGCAATCTTGCGATAATCTTATTGTGCAAGCTTACAGTAACCTTACACTGCAATCTTTCGGTAAGGTGTAAATGTTTCGTACAATTTATATAATAAAATTATATAAATTAGACGAAACATTTTTAAAAAAAATTAGGTTTAAACCAAAGTTATTTGGCAACCTTGCACCAACCTTGCTACAAGCTTACCGTGCAAGCTTACTGAGCAATCTTGCAATAATCTTATTGTGCAATCTTTCGATAAGTTTACCATGCAAGCTTTCAATTAAATGAAACATTTTTTTTATAATATTTAATAATATAAAAGTCTAAAATAATCACTTTTTAAGTAAAAACAATTATTGTTTTTTTTTTTAAAATACAACAATAAATAATTGAAAAAAATTCACTTTTTTTTCTGCACCACCAAATAAATTGTTTTAAAGATCAAAATTTTCCTTATTTTTCAAGCTTTAATACCGTACAAGAAAAATGAGGTGATTCGAAATAGTTAACTCACAATTTATTAAACAATGTTTGTTTTCTTTTTTGTATTTTATTTATTGTGAAACGTCTGCTATTGCTGCGCGCGCAACGTTCGGAAGTTGTCGCTTTCGTTATTGAGCGGAAGCTTATTACATTGGCATAGTAGAAAACATGTTGTGTGAAAAGTAAGGTTATGTTGTCATTGAACGAAACGTAAACATTTCTGGTTTTTAACATTGAATTGTTTTTAATTATCTAATTTGTAGTAAAAAAAAATCATAAAAAACATTTTTGAAGGATGAAAAACCTCATTTTTCACAGAACATGTTTTCTATACTACGCTACACTCAGAAAAAAGATATGTTTGAACCAAATGTACCATTTTTTTTATATTAACCCAATTTTTTGGTTAGTTTAAACAAAATTTGTTTAATTCAAATAAATATTTATTTCATCTAAATAACTGTTTGGTTTATTTTAATAAATTTTTTGAACAAAGAAAAAATTTGATTGAGCTAAATAAACATTTGGTTTATACAACCAAATGTTTGGTTAACAGTACAGCAATGCATTTATTTTGTTGATTTAACCAAAATTTGGTTGCTTCAAACGAATTTTTTTCTGAGTGAAGAAAACATTTTTCTCAATAACGAGAGTAACAACTTTCAAACGTTGCGCGCGCAGCGATAGCAGACGTTTCACAATAAATAAAATACAAAAAAGAAAACAAACATTGTTTAATAAATTGTGAGTTAACTATTTCGAATCACCTCATTTTTCTTGTACGGTATTAAAGCTTGAAAAATAAGGAAAATTTTGATCTTTAAAACAATTTATTTGGTTGTGCAGAAAAAAAGTGATTATTTTTTACCTTTATGTTATTAAATATCATTAAAAAAATGTTTCATTTAATTTGGAAAGTCTTAATAATTTTGATAAATTTAAAATTTGGACTATATAATGCGCGAATTGAAATTATAAAATATTAATCATATTCGTAGAAGAAATAAAGTTTTAAATTTTTTTTTAAAAAGATTGGTGTTTACAATATTATTGCGAATAGAATTTCCTAAAGAATGTTTGCTAAGTTTATTTGTTTACCGACTGTAAAGAAACTTTTTTTTCTCTCTCTCTTTCCTTTTACAAAAAAAATTTGCATAAATCCATTACACGTCCTACATTGGCAGTTATTTTGTGCAATCATATATATGAATTTATACTTGTTCGGTTCGTCAGTCATTCTCAGAATTATTCTCTCCATTATCTATTCGTGAAAGAATTTTTTTTTTCAATTTTTGATAAACGAGCAATAATTGTCAGTCACATAACAAGAGAGAACTCAGTACAATGTACAGTACAGCTTTTTTTTTTGAAATAATCTTTCAATGCTTTTTTTTCACTATTTTTTTTCAAATTCTTTATTCGGTAGAAAATGGATTTATTTGATTTTCTAACAGGTAGATTTATATTCAAAATACACACTGAAAAATTTATTTTATTCAAATAATATAGGTTTTCTATTATCTATTGCTATTATCAAGTAAATATTTATTTGTATTAAATAATTAATAAATTTTGTTTTAAAATAATTATTGAGTCAAATACATAATTATTTAATATTTCTTTTAAATACATAAATTATTATTATAAATATTAATTTATTTGAAAATAGTCAAGGAATTGATTATTTGAATCAAATATATTTTTTTCAGTGTTAAAGTATTTTTTTTCTTATCTTTTGTCATTTAATTTTATTATTTTAATAATATTTTATTGAAATATTAGTTTTAAAAATCTTTTGGTTCTTTTTATGACGAGGGAAAAGATTTAAAAAGATGAAAGTATTACTTTTTTTAAAAAAAAGATTTCACTTTCTTTCACGTGAGTCTTTTTCGAAACATTTAAAATTCGTCATCATTGATTGTACGGATCTTTTAAGATCGTTGGACCACTTTCTATATAATTCTTTGTCACTTTTTGTCTCGCTTTGCTTTTTTTTTAATTTATTCTTAAAAATAAAGTAAATTTCCATTTTTATTTTATTATAAAAAAAAGTGAATAAAGTTTATTCTTATTTTATTATTAAAAATTAATTCTATTATTTTTCCATACTAGTTAACTTTTGTTATTTTTAATAAAATCTTATATTTTTAAATTGTTTCTAATTGATAAGGAAAAAATATTTGAATTCTTTAATTAAATAAATAAATATATCTACATAATAATTTAAACAAAAAAAATAAAAGTTTTTCAGGAAATCTAATCTATATATTCCGGTATTAAATTACATTTGATTTGCATAAAGTATAAAACTTATGTCACACAGGTCACTTTAGTGTCAAGGCAGTTTCTCGAGGCAATTTATATATATATGTGTGTGCGTTAAGAAAGAATATCTTTTTCTATTTACCTTTTCTACGAATTGAATTGAATTTTTTTATTTTTAAAAAACAATTCAAATTGCACTTTTTAATTACCGACTAATTCCGAGTTATTATAGCGTAAAAGATATAAAGTATATAGTTTCAACAAATTTCAAATCTGATTTTTTAAAAACAGTAAAAAAAAAACAATTATTTTTATTCTATATTAGGGTCAGCCGGGGTAAATCCGAACGGGGGGTTAATCCGAACGCTAATTATTTCAGCTTAATTAAAAATTTTAAAAATAAGTTCGATATGAGAATTTTTACCTCAGATCCTCTTCAAGAGATTCTAAGTATTATCCCATTTTTCGTTTGTTAATTAGCAACAGCATCAACAAAGATAACGAGTATTGCAAAAAAGATTGAAAATCAAAGATGACACTCTTTCAGTATTTTGTCTCGTATTTGAAGAAAAAGAAGCTAAAAATTTATTTTATTATTTATAATTGTTTGTTATGAATACTAGAACAGAAACTATTTTTCATTTTTGCCTTCTGTAAAATTTTATTAATAATATCAGACCGTTCGTATTTACCCAGGAAAATTGGAAAACTGGGGTAAATCCGAACGGTATTTTCAATAATTTTTTTTTACATCAGAGCCACACAAAATTGTTTTTATTTCATTACACTATTATTTTAACATTATAAAAGTACATAGAAAAAAGTTTTTCTTTCTATACGTATCCTCGTTAGTAATTAATAAGCAGAAACTTAATCTCTGTTCTCTCGAAGGAGTGTTTCAATTTTTTTGCCAAATGGTTTGTTGAAAAAAGTTTTTCAGGATCTTAATAAAATTTGGTATTCTACGGTTTTTGGGGTCGCTAATTACCAATTTGAAGTCAGTTTTTCAAAATTCAAAATGGCGGACGAGAATTAAAAAATTCATTGGATTCGCTCGAAAACTGTTACTCGGGGGGTTTCAGGGTTAGCAAATTTGATCATTTTTAAAAATAAGTTTTAGGAAAGTACGCCATTTTGAATTTAAAAAATTTGACTTTTATTTTTGTATTTACATTCAATCACTCCAAAATACTTTCTGTAGCAAGTTTTGCAAAAATCCGTTATGATTTGATAAAGTTATTGAAGGTTTTAATTGTGTAATGCATTTTAATTTTTAACCTGTTTGATTTTTGTATTTATATATGATGCATTATTACATAATAGGTTTATTATCGTATTTTTTTGAGTTTTTATATAAGTTTAACAATTGCAATACTTTAAATTTATTTTCCCTAAGATTTTTCTGAAATACAGTGGCGTTCGTATTTACCCCGGTATTTTAGGAAAGTTGCAAAGTATCGAGGTAAATACGAACGCTAAGTTTCCTGCGATTGTAATTTATCAAAAATTTTTGCTACCCCATAAAATTGTTCTATGGAAGTAAAGTAACAACTTCATGCACCAGAATACCGGAAGTATTTTTTTTTAAAGAAAAAACTTATGTTATTGTTGAAACTTACTAAAAGCGTTCGGATTTACCCCGGTTGACCCTAATACCTTTCAATTTAATAAATAAATTAAAATAATAATAATAATTTATCGCAGACAACAATTATTTAATTTCTATAAAGTTAAAAGAATTTTTTGTTAGCAGAAGATGCGAGAATAGTGCAAGAATCGCAATCGTTAGAATTGCTTCCACATCTAATGTTAAATATAGGGGCAAAAACATATCTGGCACAGAAAATATCTATAAAATTTCTTAGGTTATTATGTCAAATCCGTCTTTCTAACAAATTTTTCTTAAAATTGGCTATTAATAAAAAAAATTTACAAAACACCCGCCAAGGGATCACAGAAAATTAAAAGGCATTAAAATAAGCTGCAACGCTTCTTATTTTAATCCAATTTTTCTTATTTTAATACCAAAATGGATTAAAATAAGAAGCGTTGCAGCTTATTTTAATGCCTTTTAATTTTCTGTGATATTGCGAGGGTTGTGGTTCGGAATCTTCGAATTTATGTTATCATATTTTTATTGAATGTCCTTATCTCCGCGAAGAGAGAGCGAAACATATTTTTCCTTGTTACGACAAACAGAACACAATTGATGCCTTTTTGAAAATTCTAGATTCCACAAATATTGTAGATTTAAAAAATTTATATATTTTTTTTTAAAACTTCATTTTTAAAAATGTATAATTTTTAAAGCGGCAACCTCTTTGTATTGGCTTTTATGCCATTTAACAAATAAATCTATATATATAATATATATTATTATAAAGTTAAAAGTAAAATGATCAAAAAATTGAAATATAAATTAAAAATCTTTATTTTTAATAATAATTTATTTAATTTAAGTAATGCTGGCATGATTTTACAATTTTAGAAATTTTACTTTTTATATAAAAATTTTAAATGTAAAAAGAAATAAACATTTCATAATAATTACTCTAAACTCTTGACCACAAGATAGGTTAAATATATCACGCAGCTCAAATCAATTCTTATAACTTTATCAATATTTCAATACTTATCACGTGGTATTTGATTAGAAACAAATTAGTAAAATATTAATAGAAAAAAATTAAATATATAAAAAAATTTATATTAAATTTAATATTTTTAAATTTCTATTAAATAATTGAATAATATTTTTCACGGAAACTTGTATATAATTTTTCAAATATAAATATTATAAAATTTGTACAAGTAAAAAAAATTACAGAAAAATTACAATCTCTTATTTTCTATCTTTTTCCTGTTTCTCTATATATTAATTTTCTATATATTATAATATACATCCGGCATATAATATAAAATCAAAAATCAGAATCGCAAATTTATTGATCCATCCATTCATCACTCATGACACTTTTTTAACGGACCACTTGAATTAAAAAAAAAAAATTAATTTGAATTTTTATTTCAAAAGAATAAATTAAAAAAAAAATTTTAAGTGTAAAACATTTGTGCAGACATTTAATCTGAAATTGCTTTTCGCTATTTTTTTCTCTATACACACACATATATATACAGGGAATTGCATTAAACCGGTTTAACGACCTCTGTATATAAACTTTTGCTGCTTGTTTTATATAATAATCTCCAACCACTTGACATTTAATCCTTTCAAGTTCAAAGATGTTTAATATTTTTAAAAAAAAATCCTGTTTCATGAATTTTTTGAAAATTTCAAATGTTTTTTTTTTCAAAAAATTTATTTACAAATAAATAAATTTATAAATTTGTGAAATTTTTAATTTATGGTATAATTTAGAACAAAGAGATTTCTAAACAAAAATTTTCCCCATTATAATTATTTATTTATACACCCAGAGAGAAGATTAATTTGTCTAAGAGTCAAATAAATATTTGTTTCAAATAAATTTGATTTAGTTTTAAATAAAAAATTGATTTGTTTCCAATTTATTCATTTATTGGTACACAAATAAATTTTGATTTGATTTGAATATAAAAAATTTATGTTTCAAATAAATTTTATTTGATTTAAATAAAAAATTTATTTCCTTAAAAATAAATTTATTTGCTTTAAAATAACTTTTATTTGGTTCAAATAAAAAATTTATTTGCGTTAAATAAAATTGTATTTGAGGTAAATAAATTTTTTTTTTTATTTAAAACTAATAAAAAGTTACTATAGGCTTTGAGACAAATATATTTTTATTTGATCCAATTAAATTTTATTTCTCTAAAATAAATGTAAATAAAATATTTCTCTGCGTGTAGTAAAATTAATTTTTTTTTCAAAATTTAAATAAAATTGATGAAAAGTATAATTTTTGTTAATTTTTTTTTTTTTTAATAGAACAACTGGAACGGAAGGCAGCATCACGATGAATGGCCACGAGAGGAATTTGAGTGCTTTCAGAAAATTGTCATGCTATATAATGCAAGATAATCAACTTCATGGCAATCTCACTGTCGAGGAAGCAATGAAGGTTGCTTCTAGTCTCAAACTAGGCTCTCATGTTCCTAAGACAGAGAAAGAAGAAATGGTAAAAAATGGCTGCAAATATTATTTACCGCTTCTCAGAGCTAAATAAATATTTATTTGATTAAAATAAAAAAATTTATTTATGCCAAATAAATTGGCTAGTAGACTGTGAGACAAATATACGTTTATTTAACTCAAATATATTATAATTGGTTTAAATAAAACATTTCTCTGGATGTATTTTGTAAATTAATAAAATAAGAAAAAAATTATTCAAATTATCAGACTTTAATAAAACTTTAATAATAAAATTGTTTTAAGACTAAAATTTAATTTTCTCCACAATGCTAAAGTCCACAACATTTGTGATATCAACGATTAGAAAACAAATTTTTTATAAAATAAAAAATTATATAATTGTTTGTCCAAGAAAATATTTTTTTTTATAATTTATTGATAAATAAACATTACAGAAATTATTTTTGCTACGAAAATTTATAAAAAATTTTATTTAAAAATTGTTTTTTCATAAACGTTGTGGACTTCAGTATCGTTTTTTTTTCGGAAATATTTCTTAAAAAAATGTTATACAAATTTTATTAAAATACAATAATTAACATGCAATTGTTGATTTTTTATTCTATTTTAATTTTTGAAAGTTTCTGAATAATTTTTAAAAAATTACAAAATAATTTTTACTAATAATAAAAATAATTTTAATCATAAAATAATAAATTCCACTACATATATATATTTTTTTTTTTTAATCTTTCTGTTATTTTAGATTCAAGAAATTCTTGATACATTAGGATTATCAGATCATCGGCGAACAATGACCTCAAATTTAAGTGGTGGACAAAAGAAAAGACTTTCCATCGCTCTAGAACTTGTCAATAATCCACCTATTATGTTTTTCGACGAGCCAACCAGGTAAATATTTTTTTTTTTTTAAATTGCACAAACAATTTTCTCACAAAAAATAATTTTCAAAAACCAAAAATAAAATAAATAAAAAAAAATCTCGTTTTTATTGTTAAAAAAAATATGTAAATCTTTGCGTACAGAACATTTTTCCTTGAAATTACAAAAAAAAATATATTTTTTTAAAATTAACATTATTAAAATTTTATTATCAAGTTATTTTTAAAAAAAATTTTTTTTCTTTAACATTTTAGAATTTATAAACAAATAGAAGAAAAAAATTTCACTACACATTGTGTTAGAACAAATTTTACTTTTAAAGAAGTTTATTAGTAATAATTTCTTTATAATTCTTTTTATATCATAAAAAAACTGTTGCATAATAGAATAATTTTTTTTTGAGGGTTTCGAAAGAAAATACAGATACAATATTATATTCCATAAAAAATAATAATAATAATTATTATTATATTATTATTATTTTTATTATATATAATATTAAAAATACAAAAAAAAATTAAAATTAATTGTTCAAAAATTTTATCTTCATAACCGTATGATTCAATCGACATTAATTTCTAAAAATGGGATGAGTATTTTGTTGGAAAAATATTCTGACGCATTACACGACCCGTTTGTTCTTTGTCCTGACTTGAAAACATGTAAATTTTAATAAAGTGAATGTAAAAAAAGGTATAATCAAATTCCATTAAAAAAACAAAAGTCGAGAAGGAAAAATAATGTTGAAATTGAGGCATTTTGGATTATTATTGCATTATTAGTATTCTAAACTAGTAGTTCGAGCAAAAATTATGCATTTACAGAATTCTCAAACGTAGTTTTAGAACGTTCTCGTTCGCCAACTTTCTCATTTTATAATGAAATACACACTCGAAACAAAAAATTCACAATTATGTTTATTAAAAAAAAACAAAAAAATGAAACAACTTAAAATTCTTTTATAATTTTAACTAAGCAATATAGTTTACTTTTAATTAAGCCCACAGAAAATAATACTTTCTTATCATTAAATACTGAAAAAACAAAAAAAAATTTCGAAAAATTTTCAAATAAATAAATTTAAAGTCAAAAAATATTTTACAATAAAAAAATTGAATATCAATTAATGTTCATAGGTAACGAGAAACAAATTCTTCAAATTAGAAAAAGCATTTGTCACAAATATTTTTGAAATAATTTAATACAATTATTAATTCAGTATATTTTATTCTATGAATAAGAATTTATTCTTTGAATAAAAATATATTTTTAATTTAAAAATACTTTATAATTTTCAAAGCAGAGTATATATTAAATTTAAGAATTACATTAAAATATTCTAAAATACTAAATATATATTCTCAATTTAAGAATTATTTTTTTTCGTTACAACTTTTACAATAAAAAAAAAGTGAAAATATAAAAAAAACTATTTTAATAGACTTTTAAAAAATTATTGCAAAAATTTACGATCGAGAGACTTAAATTACCTTCTGATTTCCAAGGATAACCAGAGATCGTTTGGTGCAATCAAGCAATCTACTAATCGTTCGTAACATAAAATGCTTTTCCATCCTTGAATGTGCGGTTTCAAAACTACGATTTACTTTTTTTCAATTTCATTTCAAATATTTTTCAATTTATTTTCATATACCTCTTTTCTATTTTTTGAAAATACTTTCCCTATATTATTATTTTTGTTCCCAAAAAAAAAAAAAAAAAAAAATTTAATACCAAAGAAGAAAATTTAAATTTAAAAAAAATAACATTTTAAATATTAACAACCATCTTGAACTTTGTCGCAAACTCATAAATAAAAGTTGTGACATTCTCAAAAAAAAAAAAATAATAATAATAATTCATGGCCATCTTCAGCGGTATTTTTTTTTTTCATTCTAAATTAAAGAAATCGTTATAATCGCAATTTTTTCAAGATAACAAAACACATGCAAAATAGTCATAAACCTTGGATTATAATATTATTTTAATTTCTTTTTTTAGTGGTTTGGATTCATCTTCCTGCTTTCAATGTATCTCGTTATTAAAAACCTTGGCACGTGGGGGACGTACGATTATTTGTACAATTCATCAACCTAGTGCAAGACTTTTTGAAATGTTTGACGCTCTTTATACTTTAGCGGAGGGACAATGTGTTTATCAAGGATGTACATCACAATTGGTTCCATTTTTAAAAAGTCTCAATCTCAATTGTCCAAGCTATCATAATCCAGCATCTTTCAGTAAGTTTTAATTTAATGTCAAAAAAAATATATACATATTTTTTATCTAAAAAAAAAATTTCTTAAAATACTCTTTAGGATTGAAAACAATTATATATTTTACTTTCTAGGATTTATAAATGTCTTTTTTTTTATTTAGAAATGTTACTTTTTTACTCTAGAGTTAAAAACGACTATTTTACTCCCTAGGGTTGAAAAAAGTCATTTTTATCCCTCGGGCTAAAAACAACTATTTTACTCCCTAGGGTTGAAAAAAGTAATTTTTATCCCTCGGGCTAAAAACGACTATTTTACTCCCTAGGATTGAAAAGAAACAAAACGACTTTTTCTACTCCTTAGGGATAAAACCAAAAAACTACTTGCTATGGCAACTGCTCTTTAAGTTTTTAGGGTTGAAAACGAGTATATAAAACCTAGGTTTAAAAAAGGCAATTTTATATTATATAGGTAATAATAATAATAGTAATTATTATTATTATTATTATTATTATTATTATTAAAACTACTTCTTTAATAATTAATAAAGTTAAAGTTGGTTATATTACTTACAAGGGTTAAAAAAAAGACTATTTTACACCCTAGGGTTAAAGAAGGCAATTTTCCTCCTAGGGTCGAATATAAATTGTTTACATTCAAGAATTAAAAACGATTATTTAACACCTAGAGTAAAAAAGGTGAATTTTCTAACCACTAATTTAAAAAAAAATAATTACTAAATTTTTACAAGGTTATGCTAATTTCAGGGATTCAAAAAAAAGACTAATTTACTCCCTAGAATAAAAAAAACGAAAACATTTTCCTCTCTAGAAATTTTCTCTCCTCCTCCTCCTCCTGACAAATTGTTTTAAATTTTTTATAAATTAATAATATTATTGCAAATTTTTGTCACATTTTAACATTATTTATCAATTAATGCAAATTTAGGGAAAAAGTTACATATTAAAGAAAAAAAAAATTTTTTTTTTTCTCCAGTAATTGAAGTGTCTTGTGGAGAATATGGAAACAATATTAAAAATCTTGTGAATGCAATTAAAAATGGAAAACGTGATGTTCGACGTGGCTATTCATTTTCGGATGAAAAAGAAGCACTAAACAATTCATTGGCAGTGTCGGAAATTCCAAAGGATATGGATGTTGGAGCAAAAATCACTGAAATCAAGGACAAGAATGACGCAAATAATATTGAAGACAAGTTTCAGGATAAAAAAACAAATGAGAGTAATGGAGTGATTCCAAACTACGCAACCAATGACATTGCTAAGCAAAGTACGTTATAACTTTTAGAATATATATACATATATGTATAGAAGTTTTTATTTTCTTTAACAAAGTCGTTAATCACAAAAGTGTTTTTTTTTCACGTATATATATATATATATATATATATATGCATTGTACAATTTTTTTTTCTTTTTTAAATATACCACATGTTGGTTTATAATTTTTTTTTTTTTCAACTGACTGTATAATTTTTGAATATATTTCAATTCTATTATCCGTGCGTGTATAATAAAAGTAATTATGGATGTATTACTTTAGAAAACTTCTCGTAAACTTGTAAAAATCTTATTTTCTATTTACAATAATATTATTAATAATAATTGATGCAAGGCATTTTTTTTATAATTTTACGATATATTGGAAGTTTTAATGGAACGCATGATTATATTCTAAAAATCATTAGTTATAGAATTTTCATTTTATGGAATTTCATTTGTCATAATTATTTTTGATATAATTTCCATATAACCGATTTTTCATACTACAGAATTTTTACTTAACCGAAAATTGCCAAAATCGATTGTTTGTTTGGCCATTTGCAATTTCGGACAAATGAAAATTCTATCAATTAGAATTAAATGATTTTTCGGTTAAGTAAAAATTCTGTAATATGAAAAATCGGTTATATATGGAAATTATATCAAATAATAATTCGAACAAATGAAAATTCATCTGAAAGAATAAAATGAAAATTCTATGCAATGAAATTCTACCCAATAAAAATTCTTTAAAATGCCTATTATGTTAAATGAAAATTCGAGCAACTAAAAATTCTAACAAATAAAAATTCGAATAAATAAAAATTTTGCGAAGTTAATTTTCGGTTATATAAAAATTCTGTAATATAGAAAATCGTTTTAATGAAAATTCTGCAAAATACTAATTCGAAAAAATAAAAATTCGACTCAAAAATAACAATATGACAAATGGAATTCCATAAAATGGAAATTCTAATAAATGATTTTTAGAACATAATCATGCGTCGCATTTTAATTTTAATTTTGAAATTTTCAAACAGTAACCAAAGGAAAAACATTAAGTAATTTGTTACAAAAATAAAAACTTAAGTTTCAAATAAATTCATTAAAATCAAAATCTTTTTTAGCATGCCATATATTGGATTCGCCATATTGAATTTTTTAAATTTAACAAAGATGTTTCCCTAGGGTAGAAAGGGATAATTTTACTCCCCGGGGTAAAATGCCCTCGTTAATATGTAAAAATGTACGCGTTATAAAAGGCATTTTATTTTATTTATTTTTTTACAGATGATGTATCGATAAATCTTGATATGGAAAAGAAGGATAATATTAATCTTTTGGATGAGACAATTGTCGTAACACCGGAAAGATATCCAACATCAGAATTTACTCAATTTTGGATTGTTCTTAAGAGGACACTTCTTTTCAGCCGGAGAGATTGGGTAAACTAATTATTAAATTATTAACTAATTATTTCAATTTTAAATAATTAATAACCAATATTAGATAAAAAGAAATTAATTCCCAGCTTAACAGGTATGAAGAACATTTTTTCCTGTCAATATGGGGCATTTTGTTTTTAAAATGTACTACCACTAACAAAAAGAAAAGGTGTTCATTTTGTTGCAAAATTTAATGCCAATTACATGTAATTATCATTTATAAAAAATGTATCTTTTACCTTAGCCTGTAACCGATGTATCATATTTCCTACGATAAAATCTACTGATAACACACGCGATTTAAAAAATTTCGAACACTCCCGAAAACACATTTAAATAATTAAGAAACAAAATACTTTTTCTAAAGATTTAAGCGATCCCGATTTTAAGAATTTCGAACACTTCCGAAAGAAAACACTTACTAAAATGACACAAAAAAAAGCTACGATACTTTTAAAATTGTTTTTGTTCGCGAATTAAAATATTCAAACACTTCCGAAAATATTTACTGTAAATGGGAAAATATGAATTAAAATAAAAGGAAAAATATATTTAAAACAGACAAATTTTGATTTAAAATTACAAAATTTACACTCACGTTGATCACGTCTAAACAGGTCAATACACGAATTGCAACTAATTAAATTATATTTAGGTTTTTCAATTCCCATTGTTATGATCTTTGGTTTACGACACCCTTGTACTTACATGTAAACATACAACTCGGGACGCAGGTATAAAGCCATAAAATCGCTTCGACTTATTTAAAATACTTAGAAATTATAATTTTAAATATTTTTTCAGTTATCTAAATTACTTCAGCTTTTTTAAAATAATAAATTGAATGAATAATTAAATTTTTAATTAATTAAACACTAAATAAGTATTTTAAATCTGTTTTACCGATGTAATCTATCAAAGAGGTCATTCAAGTATTATGTAACCATATTTTCAAGGCTTTTGTACCCTTCCCTAAATAAGCATATTGTAATGGAAAAAAAAATTTTTTGTATGGTCCGTAAGCAACTGAAGAATTCCCTTCCTCTTTAGATGCTTACGTAATACTTGATTGACCCCAAATCGGTTTTATCAGCAGTCGGTAAAACAGTTTTAAATTTATATAAACCGTCAAATTAGTTTTACCAGCAGTCGGTATAGCTGTTTTGTCAGTGGAATTATTGCGTATATAATAATCAATCAACTCTACGATATTAAAACCCGATAAAACAGCTTTGAAATCGTAAAAACTGTTTTTTTCAGCAGTAGGTAAAACAGTTTTTTGAACCCAACATAGTTATTGATTTAATCGATCTAATGTCGTTTTATCAACAGTCGGTAACTCGCACTTGTCCTATTTTTTTGTTATTAAATTAATATTTGAATTATTTAATTTTCAGACTTTGATGTATCTTCGGCTCTTTGCCCATATCCTCGTTGGTTTGTTAATTGGCGCTCTTTACTACGACATTGGAAACGATGGCGCAAAAGTACTCAGTAATCTTGGTTTTCTTTTCTTCAACATGCTCTTTCTGATGTACACTTCAATGACCATCACTATTCTTTCGTGTAAGTATATATATTTAAAAGAATTTCTATTTTCTGTTTCTTAAAAATATTTGTTTATAATTTTTCTTTATTTCTCTTTATTTATTAAAAAATTGTAATTTTTTATTTTAGTTCCCTTGGAAATGCCGGTTTTACTTAAAGAAAATTTCAATCGATGGTACTCATTGAAAGCTTATTATTTAGCGATCACAGTTTCTGATATTCCGTTCCAGGTAAAAAATTCAAAAAATTACTTAGATGCAAATTGTTTGTATTATTTTTCAGTTTAACTATTGTAACAACTTTACACAGTCACACAAAAAAATAAATTTGACTATATGACTTTTGGAGTTGCCAAATCCGAATCCGACGTCCATTTAAACCTATTAGTTCTGGATTTTGACATAACCTCAAAGGACTCTAAATTTGAGCTACTAATCCACCAAAGAAAGGGAGCGTTCAAAAATTACGTAACATTTTTTGGGGGAGGGGGGGTCAAGCACTTTGTTACGGAGAGCAGAAAAAATGGCGCTAATGTATGCAATAACGTGTTAAATGGGGAGGGGGAGGTCAAAATTAATAAAAAAAAAAACGTTACGTAATTTGTGAACGCTCCCAAAGTGTCTTTCTGATCTGGAGGTCTGACAATGTTTACTATATATATGTTTTTGGAGTCCTTGAATCTGGATCCGTAGCCCATTTAAACGTATCAGTTTTAGATTCTTCTATAACCTCAAAAAACGCCATTAAAAACACATTTTTTTGAGGTTATGACAGAATTCTAAAGTGATGGGGTTAAATGTACCATGGACTCAGTTTCAGGGACTCCAAAAACATATAATAATAAACATGGTCAGACCCCCTGATCAGAAAGAAATTGTTATGCTGGATTCGTATCTCAAATTTAGAGTTTTTTGAGGTTATGTCAAAATTCAGAACTAATATGGTTAAATGGGCGTCGGATTCGGATTCAGCGACATCAAAAACATATAGAGCCTGGCTACATCGAAAGCCAACTAGGAGCATTAAATTTAATGCTCAGGCGTATTAAACGAGTAGATTATATTCGCGTCTGCGCAGAATGTTTGTGTACATCTGCGACCATGGTTGGGATAGGGACAGGTTAGAAAAGTTCGGTGGCTGGTCGCCTTTTCTAACCTGTCACTATCGCAACCGTGGTCGCAGATGTACACAAACATTCTGCGCAGACGCGAATATAATCTACTCGTTTAATACGCCTGAGCATCAAATTTAATACTCCTGGTTGGCTCTCGGTGTACACGGAGAAAAAAGAATTGTTGTGGTTACTAAAAATTAAGTCCACACAACAATTTCGGATTGTCAATATAGAACCAGCAGTTCTATTTGTTGTTGGAAAAAAAAAAAATTTTTTAAATGGAATTGTTTGGTGAACAAACAGAATTGTTTGATGAACAAAGAAAATTGTTATGGAACAGTTGAAATAACAAAACTAAATTGTTGAAATCGACAGTACAATTTGTTTTATTAACAAAACTTTGATCCGTCTAATTCAATTTGTTCAGTTTCATCGCCTTCTAAAATAATCGATAGCAGATTTCCATAAGTCATATCACCAGTTTCATTTGCATTAAAATCTGTGGAACATGTAGCTTCTAAATCAAATTCTTTGATCTGAGACCAAAAAATTATTTTTAGTTGAAATTTGTTGGTAAATAATATTTAATATGCATTTTGTATTTTTTAAAGTGAGGTTATGTTCAATAGTAACCGTGTATAACTTATCGATAAACGATGAAATTGTCTCTTCACCCATTCACCAGACTTGCAATAGATTTCTCACTTTAACCGAATTCATTATTTAACAGCACTTTGTCATTTAAAAAAAAACTAATAATAAAAGCAAAAGTGGCACATGTGCCAGAAGCAAACGACGCGACGATCTGCACGCCAGTTTGCGAGAATTCAAGATGACCACGTGACATGGAACAATAAACTTGTCAGCTGAACAAATCCAGATTGTTCCATCAGCAATAGACAGAGAGTTTGCTTCTGCAAATGTACGAAATTGCAAACTGAACAAATCTGACAACAAAAAATTCGTATTGTTGTTAAAACAACATACATTTGTATTGACAACAATCCGAATTTTAATATTAACATTTCGAATTGTAATATCAACAAATCTACTGACAACAATCCAAAAATTGTTTGCACAACAATTCCATTTTTCTCCGTGTAGCCAGGCTCATAGTAAACATAGTCAGACCTTCAGATCAGAACTTTTTTTTGTGTGGCTGTGTAATCAGCAACTCTAAAAATGTTTCAATGGATTAAACAATTAAGCAATTTTGAATTTCTAAATTCTAAATTTTGATTTATTCAAATTTGAAAATGTTTCTTTTTTCAGGCTATCTTCTGCATTATTTATGTGACGATAGTTTATTTCTTAACGAGCCAATTGCCTGAATTATCGAGATTCAGCATGTTCCTATCGGCTTGTCTATTAATTTCATTTGTGGCACAATCTGTGGGTTTAGTTGTTGGCGCTGCAATGAATGTCCAAAATGGCGTTTTTCTTGCACCAGTGATGTCTGTTCCATTTCTTCTATTCTCAGGATTTTTCGTAAGCTTCGATGCAATTCCTGTTTATCTCAGGTGGATCACCTATCTCAGTTATATTCGCTATGGTTTCGAAGGAACTGCTCTAGCCACTTATGCAGATAGAGCAAAATTAAAATGCTACCAGGTAAGAATTTACTTTAAAAAAATTAAAATTTCGTAAATTTTTACTAAAGATACTTTTTTTTTGGTTTGTGAACTTGTCTAAATAAATATATTTTCTCCTACACGGAGAAAAATGGAAAAACGAATAAAGTAACTTTTACTACTTTAAAAGTAAAATTGGACCTGTCCGAAGTTTCTGCGCATCTCTGGCAACTTTTACTCCAAAAATAGTAAAATTGACTATTTCTGTAGTAAATTTTACTGTTTCCGTAGTAATTTTTACTATTTCTGAAGTAAATTTTACTATTTTTGGAGTAAAAGTTGCCAGAGATGCGCAGAAACTTCGGACAGGTCCAATTTTACTTTTAAAGTAGTAAAAGTTACTTTTTCTTTTTTTCCGTGTATCTTTTTAAAATTGTCAAGAAACCGAAAGTATTTTACAAATTGAATCTTAATCTGAAAAACATATCGTTTTCAAAAATGTTGGATTCACTTTAGCATCTTTTAATATTTAAACGTAAAATTAATTTAATTCCATCTCTTTCTAATTTAATAAAAACTTTTTTTCCCCACAGATCTATTGTCATTTCAAAGATCCAAAAACAACACTGGAGAATTTAGATATGTTGGATGCGGATTTCATGCTTGATATTTTAGCTTTGCTGTTAATTTTTGTAGTTTTAAGAATTTCAGCCTATCTATTCCTTCGTTGGAAATTGAGAAGTGCCCGATAATAATTTTTCGCAATCAAAAAAAATTCAAAAAAATAATATTTAAATTATATAATATTGTGAGAATTTTTGCTTTAATTTTTTTTTCTCTTTAGAAATAACGTCTTATAAACGAACGAAAAATACAAATAATGGAAAATTCTCCATGAAAAAAAAAAAAATGGAAAAGAAAAAATTAGCAAAAATATGGTTAAAAAAAAAACAAAACAAAAATGTCACAAAAGATCTCGCCGGAATTATTCCGAATAGATTATTATTATCAAAAAGGGCAAATTTTTTATAAAGGAATTTTTTTTTTATATAAAAATAATACGCTTCGTATCGCAGCGTACTTGTTTTCTTTTGCAGTTTTAATGAAAAAAATATGTTAATTTATTTATCCTTAATTTAGAGAGGAGCATAATTGTTTAACAATGCACTCATTATTCAGGGTAATATAACTTTTTTTTTCTCTTCCCAATTCAATTGACGCACAATTTTTTAATTCTTCGAAAATTATTTTTTATTTCAAAGTTCAATGTTTGAAATTTATAAAAAAAATTTATAAAACGTTATAAAATATTTATAAAACTTTATGCAATAATTACATTTCTAAAATTTTATAAAATATTTATATATAGAAAATATATATATGCCTAATAATATTAAATTTTTTACATCAATTTTATCATTACTATTGTGTTGAATAAAAAAATGACATAAATTTGTCAAAATTATGTTTTATTAATGTTATTAACTTTTTAAATTTGCTTAAAGGACTTTAAAAATGTGCGTAAAAAAAACGTTCTTTCACAATGGGGCCTTAATCGCAGACACTTTGTGCTTTAATAATTATTGTTTTGTAATTCGTCTATCAATGGCTGTGAGTCTAGAAAGATGAAATGGAGACGAAAAATTGTATAACGTAAAAATTTCACAAACTCTTCTATGAGCCCGTTTTTACCGTGTGAAAACAAACGAGAGGTTAAAATTAATCTTCCGAGAGGTTAAAGACAGTAGATATACTTTGCGCTTGCGCAGAATGTTTGTAGCTTCTGCGCAGACGCAGACCTACCTTTAACCTCTCGAAAGATTAAATTTATCCACACGGTGAAAATGAGCTCTATGTAAAAAAAAAAAAAAAAAAAAAATACTAAACAAAGCAGGAGCGAGTTTTTTGTCTTGCCAGAAATAAAATATACGTATTGTAGTTTTGGAGTTAATATGTACTTTTTCTTAACTTTGTAGAAATATTAAAAGATTTTTGAACAATATTTAAATATATAGCATGACAAGATGAGAGGAACAAGATTGCAATAATTATATTTTAAAACAATATTCTATATATATACAATATGAGACGTTTAATTTTATAGTGATTTGCTAAGAGCCTCAATATAACTTGTTAAATAAATAATTATACATAAAGAACAAATAGGGGAAAAAATATTTGTAAAATAGCAATAAAAAAGAAAGACATTACAAGAGAAGAATGAAGAGTTTAAATTAGAATGTAAAAGTAAAGCTTTATATTTATCAGATTATAAGAATTTTAGTGTAAATTGATAAGAAATATTAAAGAAAAAAAAAAAGTTCTTTCTCTTTTTGTAAATTGGTATATACATAATTATGATAATTTTGAGAAATTTATTGTATAAATTGAAAATTATGGATTTTGTAAAAAATTGACGATTAATATAGCGATTTTACTATAAGTTATATAATATTATTGTTAATATTATTATTAATTTTATTATTAATAGTACTAATACTTATTATTAATATTAGTATTATTAATAATAATAATGATAATATAATTAATATAAATATTATTTATAATAGATAATAAATTATATTAATATTATGTGCCTTAAAAAGGAATTTAGAAAATTTATTTTCAGAATCTATATTCTAAATAATAAAACACGCGATTGTGTAACGATCGTTGACAATTTGTGGTAAATTACCTTTTTTTTGTAATGATGATTTAATAATCCGTATATTTTCATTGTCACAAATTATTGTCATATTTAATAATAATTATTATTATTTGTTACGAATAAAATAATTTTACAGAAAATCTCTTGTTTCTTTTGTTTTTTAATGAATTTAAATTATTGATTCAACTCTTGTAGTTAAAAATGTAATTTTTCTGTATTATTTAAAAAAAAGATTGAACAGTAAAAATTAATATTGAATATAATTTAAGAAACACTTGTAAAACTTAATAAATCTCTACACGTTCTACATTAAACTACAAGAGTTAAATTAAAATTTAAAACCCAAGGGGAATCGAACCACAAACATATCACGTAACTCCTTTTACCTAACCTACCTAAGTGATTTAACGACTACGGCTATCGCGCAATCAAGAAAATAAGTGATTATTATTTAAATTTTGCAAATTATGAATTTCTTTGATCAATAACATTTAAATAATAAGCAGGGCCGAATTTACACCTACGGGTGCCCTAAGCACTAAACAGGAGTTACCAAAAAAAAGGGCCCTAAGCACTCAGCTCTTTTGAAATTTAAAATAAAAAATTAGACAACTTCACATCAAAAAGTGACGAAAATTTTATTACAACGTAAAAAAACATTTTTTAAAACAAATGTATTTTGTATACCTTCAATTCAATATATATTTAAATTAACAACACTGTTTTTAAAATGATAAATTAGATCTTAAGGAGATGCGAAAAAAGTTCAAATTATTGAGAGTTTTATTTATCAAATATTTTAATTATCAAGTAAATGTCAGGAAAAATTCAAATTAAGGGGGAAACCACATTACTACGCTGTTTTTTTAGCCGTTTTTAGGGATTTTTTTCAAAAGGGATAAAATTTTTTAAATGAAACGCAAGAATGACATTATGTTGCACATATATTTATCTGTGTCTGACAATATTTTTTTTTTTGCATTTTTATTAAAAACATTCCAAGTTAGGAGCCATAACCCCTGGAGCTGTGCTGTCTGAGTTTATGATTGCTGTGCAAGGTGGAGTCCACAAATTTGATCCAAAAGCAAAAAATGAAGGTTATTCACATTTTATACAAATTTTATTATTAATTGAACTAACTTTTAAGTGAAAATATTGAAAATTGAAAAATTGACACTACTTTTAAGTTAATGTTTGAGTTCCCACTTGGAAAGATTCCCCGGAAAGTGCCCCCTGGAGGTTCTATCAGAATTCCGCCGGAACTTCCAAAGTAATTCCGTCGAAATTCCATCGGAGTTCCAAAGAATTTTCGATGGGATTCCGACGGAGTTCCGACGGAATTAGGACTCTAAAAATTTTGAAAAAAATTGAACGTAATTCCGTCGGAATCCTATTGGAAATTCTTTAGAACTCCGATGGAATCCCGACGGAATTACGTTGGAAGTTCCGGCGGAATTCTGATAGAACCTCCAAGGGGCACTTTCCGGGGAATCTTTCCAAGTGGGTTTTGGCATATTTTTTGCGTCTTTGAGATTAAAAAAGGTATTAAATTTTTTTTCTTTCTAACGTTTAGTTCACTTAATAATAAATTTAATAACGAACAATTTGCAAATTTTCTTTTTTGAAATCGGTCAATAACATTTTGAGCTATCCTGCACAGCAATTTCAAAAATCCTGTTTCGAGAAAAACGCATTTGAAAAAAGTATCGAAAATTTAAAAATAATTATAAGAAAAAAACCATTTAAAGTGCTTACACTTTAATCTGCTATTCCCGCACCATACATTAGTCCTTCCTCTTCTTCATAAGTCAAATCATAAATTCACAAATGGACTTCCTCAGCGACGCCGTTACCAACCTGCTTCGCTACTCGGAGCAAGCTTCATTCATTGCCTGTAGCACAGAGAGGACACCGAATTCCGCTGTAAAAACTTTTTCAACATAATTTTGAATACATAAGCTGACTATTTATGCAAAAAAAAAATAATTTGATTTTTTGAACCTCGTAATGTGGTTTCCCCCTTTTAACAAGAGATTCATTTTTCATTAGTTTTGTTCGGAAAGTTATGTTATTTATTCCAAAGAAATTCGTAATTTTTTTTTTTAGTGCACCCCAATGTTTTTGCATTTTTTTTAATTCATTAATTTTTAAAGTTGAAAACTGTTTTATCGACATCGTGTGATTTTTTTCATAGGTGTTGATATTCACCTCGCTTGTTAGTTAACCTATAATATAAATAGTTTACCAATGTCTAATTATTATTAATTCACGTCTATTGTTAATAATTAGACATTTGTATACTTATAGGTTAACTAACAAGTGAATATCGACAATTGTGAAAAAAATCACATGATGTCGATAAAACAGTTTTCAACTTTAAAATTAATGAATTAAAAAAGATGCGAAAATATTGGTGGTATGTACTAAAACAAAACAAAAATTACAGATTTCTTTATAATAAATAACATAAGCTTCCGAACATTATTAACTTGTGAAAAATGAATCTCTTGTTAATTTCAATTTTTCCTAAGCTTCACTCAATAATTAAAACATTCGATAAATAAAACTCTCAATAATTTGAACTATTTTTGCATCCCCTTAATAGATTCAATTTATCGAGAGACGACTTTATTTGACAAAAATTAATTTTTAAAATACTTTCTTATATAGTTTTTTGAATTTAAATGTAATTGATCAAAGAAATTCAAAATTTTCAAAATTTAAATAATAAAAATTACTTTTCTTTAAAAAAGCACTGTGAATATTTACGTTTTGGGTCCTTAAATTTTTGTAGTTGTACAGTACGATTCAAGTTTCAAGTTTATAAAAACATATACCCTCATAACAAAAGGATATCCATAGGATATCCATATCAATGGTCGATATCCTAGAATGGTCCCCAGGATATCTTGGGATATCCATAGGATATCCCTAGGATATCCAAACTGCCGGTCTGTGGGACATCAACAGGACATCCATAGGATATCCACAGGATATCCCTAAGACATCCACAAAATATCTATTGGATATTATATCGCAGGATATCCATGGGATATCCTCAGGATGTCCGTGGGATATTCTCAGGATATTCACGGAATATTTAATATCTCAACATATATTTTTAAAGGTTAAAATTGTTAAGCTAATATAATGAATAATAATATAATAAAAACAAAAATCTTATGAGCTTCTAATTTATTTTAAATGAAGATTTGAAACGCATTTTTCAAAGTTTTTAAATAAACTCATGCACTTAATGTATAATTAATATTAATAGTTATTCGTTATTTGCGGGGAAGAATTTATATTTGTTTAAAGCCAATTTATTTTCTGACAATATTAAGCATATGAATAAAGGAATGAATCACGAATGAGAAAAAAATTAGTTAATAATTTTTCAAATTAATCAACTTTCTCGAAAAACAAGTTGCATTTTATTTTATTTATATAAAATTTAATTCACAGAATATTCTCACTTGTAGTCTCATAATGACTTTAAAAACAGTATCCTGAGAATATCTTCTTGACATCCAGAAGATATACTGAGAATATCCTGAAAATATCTGTGGGATATCCTGACGATATCTATGGGATATCTGGAGGACATTTATGAAAGTCTATAAAGATATCCACAAGATATCCTGTGGATATCCTCAGATATCCATGGGATATCCAAAGGATATCCAAACCACCGATTTTTTTGGATATCCTTAAGAGATCCTTTTGATATCCATAGGACATCCCTAGGATATCTGCGGGATATTATCAATATATCCCAAGATATCTTTTGTTATTAGGGATAGTATTTAAATAATCATTTTTGAGATGAAAAGGTCTAATACAGTTATGATGTAATAAATTTTCATCTTTATTATTATTAAAATCATCATAATCGTATTAGGCCTTATCACATTTCAAAATTATTATATATTAACAGTTTCAATAAAAATAAAAAATTTCAATACTTTCAACTAATTTTTATGTTTTTGTTTTTTATATGCCTCAAGTTCTGAACGCTCAAATGAACGAAATCATTTTCTCGGTCTATAAATAATAATAATAATTATAAATAAATAAATAATTTAAAAATTACTACAGCAAAGAAGAATAAAAAAAGTGTTTTAAACATTCAATAAATTATTTATTTTTGAATACAGAATATTTTATAAAAAAAAAATTAAAAAAATGTACCTAATAAAATTTTTTCTTCATTTTAACGTTCAGAAAAGTTCAGGCGCATATTTTTTTTTTTTTTTTTGAAAATTCATCTCGTAATGAAAAACGATTTTCCTTAAAGCTCAATAAATACCGATTCTATCAGTACATGAGAGTAATTGTCGAAGGAAAGAAGAAAAAAAATTTTTAAATATAAACCTGTTTTCAAAGTACAGGGGTCTGTAAACTAAATCGCACTCAACTGCAGAAGTTAACAAAGTCTAATTTTAGACGTTTCGCCTATAGCAGAATTACTATACATATATATATATTGCGACGTACCTTTATACCTATCCTCGTATAGTGTTCAGGATCAATGTTAAAGTGGTTGCCACAGGTCCGGTCGAGTTAGGTCTCAAACGCATATTGATGACACTGGAAAGAAAAAATAAAAAAAATCATTTATATACTTACAAACTCGTCCCTTTTTTTATAGCTTTTAGATTGCTACAATATATTGTGTTCTCTAAATAATTTAATGGTCCTCAAAAAAAAAAATTGCATTCCAACAACAAAATGCGCTTTTATGATTAGGTTGGTATTTTTTATATCAAAATTTTAACCCATTTAATCTTAAATGTTTTTTTTTTTTAAAAAAAAAGATTTTTCGAATTGAAATTGATTTTTTAAAAAAATACTCAGAATGGCAAAAATTGCAATGTTTACAAAAATTTTTAAAGTCTATTTATATTAAGTTAACAAATTTCCATTAGCGAAATTTCTAATTTTTGTTAGAATTTTTATTTGTTTGAATTATTTTTTGACAGAATTTTCATTAAACCAATTTTCTAAATTATTATACAGAATTTTTTGTATCCGAACATTTACTTCAAAGAATTTATATTTCTTCGAATTTTCATTTAACAAAATTGCCATTTAAATTAATTTTTATTCATCAGAATTTTATTACATAGAATTTTCTTTTCGACAAATTTTCATTTCTTCTAAAAATTATTTAACATAATTTCTATTGAACTAATTTTTCATATTATAAAATTTTTATTTAAATCAATTTTTATATTTAAACGAATTTTCATTTATTCAAATAAAACATTCGGCAGAAACATTTTGTCGCGAATTTTCATAATTAAATAATAAAAATTTTCTGATTAATTTCTGATTGATTAATTTTAAAACTCGCACCCAAAAGCTTATAACGGAAATATTAATTTGAACAAATGGAAATTCGTTTTAAAGAAAATTGTATGTGAAAAAATTCTCCCTAATAAAAATTCATTTAAATGACTATTACTCTCTAAATCTGAATTAGTAAAAATGTTTACTAACTTAAATTAGTGACTCACTTTTTGCTTCTGAATTAGTAAAATTTTACTAATTATTAGTAACTTTTACTAACAATTAGTAAAATTTAACTAATTCTAAAGCAAAAAGTGAGTCACTAATTAAAATTAGTAAACATTTTTACTAATTCAGATTTAGAGAGTATATATTAAATTAATAATATAGTAATTGTTGTTGTAAGTTATTTTTATTACTATTCAAATACATAACAAATAATAATAAAAAAAAAAATTTTTTGTCAAATAAAGGCTAAAAGAAAAAGTATAAAAATTTCATTTATTAATTTAACATTTAACTCTTTGATTTATTCTATTTAAATAATAGAGATAAAACATGAAAAAATCGCTGTCAACAATACATAAGTGTAAAATTATACTTAAATAGAGATAACTTTCATGCGGACATCTACATATATAATTAAATTACAGTATCATCTATATTATATGTAGTTATTTTGTTGTCAACGTTTGAGCACAATAAGCTATTATTTAGAAATGAATGTTATTAAAAAAAAAAAAAAATTGAAGAAAAAAGAGTGGATTAAGTCACGTCACTTGCGAACTTGACTTAAAATTATTACAGCATAGTAAATGACACAATCATCAACTACTCATTAGACATGTCTGCTGATTCTTTTGTTTATTATAATTATTATTATTTATCATTATTATTATTATTATTATTATTTTTGTTATTCTTATTATTCTTTTTTATTATTATTATTATTATTATTATATATTCTCTATGTTAATCCTAGGGGAAAAAATAGCCATTTTCAACCCTAAATAGTAAACTGATCTTTTTTTAGGGTTCATGGAGAAAAATATGGAAGGAAAATATTTGTATCAAATTTCTTTTAACATCGATTGAATAAAACTTGATGTATTAATAAATAGAATATGTTAAATGTTTTTTAAGAAAAATTAAAAAAAAAAAAAAAAATTTTAATACATAATGCGACATATTAAGATTTTATTGGAATCTCTTCTTTATATTCAATTATGAGAAAAGATGACAATTTTTTTTTCCCTCTTGATATTATATAATTATTTTCCGACTTTTTTCTGAACAAAATTTAATGATTCCACACAAGGAAACATAAAGTGATGAGAAATTTTTTAATATATGTATAAAATAATAAATTGTTATAAAAATAGTAAATAATTATAAAATAATAAATTGTTGTGAAATAATAATAATAATAATTATTATTATTATTTTTATTGTTATATACAAAAAAATTAACAATAATTGTTATAGAAATAATAAAAATAAATATTCAATATTTGTAAAATTACGCATAAAAAATTACATAGTTCTTTGTCCTTCCGTTAATGTAAATGCAATGAATACTTAATTTAAACGATAGTTTCACTTTTGGTATTAATAAAATTGTCACCTTAAACACGCGCGATTGCTTCTATATACTATATATACGAAATGTTTTGCGTGTATAGCATAGCAAATCATTTCGGGTATTAACCACAACTTAACACTAATTTTTTTTTTTATTATTATTATTATTTCAAAGAATTCTCCTAATATTTACGCAGAAAAAGCAACCCTGTTGGGGCTATTATACTCAGCAAAGTTAGTTTATTTATAAAATAACCTCAATATTATTTTATACAACTTTAGCTATACGAAATATTTTCTGCAGATAATCTAGATTACGATAAAAAAAAAAATAGAAAATCGAAAAAAAAATAATTTTTATAACAATTTTTTACCAAATTTGAAAGTTAAACATTGAAATTTTACTAAAAATCTGTATTTATTAAAAAAGCTAAATTTTTTTGGTTAAGTAAACAACTCAACATAATTTCTAACAAGCTTTTTAAATTATTTTAGAAAAAAAATTTACAAAATTAACTTGAAAAACATATAAATATTAATGAAAGTTACTTTTTTGAGGTTATGTTGTGTAAAACCTTATAATTTACATATTTCTGTTTTTTTTAACACAAAAGGATGTCAAAAATGTATACAAAAGATGCACTATACACTTATTTAGCTTCTACAAAAAAAAATTGTCGAAAAATAATTAATTTTAAGATATAAGTATATAATTACCCAGAGAATCTTGGACCGAATCCATGTCAAATCATGCAGGCAGTCCGATGATATATTGCGAATTAATTGCAGAATGAAGTATGTTATTCTACTTGAAAAATAAAGAAATACGTGTTTTTTTATATTTTGATTCGATTTTGTGTGTAGTTTTTACGACTTTTTAAAGATTTTTTCAAGAAAATTAATTTTTTTGCATTTTTCGCTTAAAAAAAAGCATAACTTTCGTAATTTTTAACCTTTTTTGTTGCTCCTGGGCTTATTTTTTTCATTTTTTTACTCTTTTAAAAAAAATTGCTCCGAATGAAAAATATTAAAAAACAAGGATAAAAATGAAATTTTTCGAAAAAAATTTTTTCTCAAAAATGCCACCTTTTTTTCGCCCAAATTTTCAGGATTTATTGGTACACATGTGTACTACATACCATAAAAATTTCACTTGGTATTTTTTTGTTTCTTAGGAGAAAAAAAATATTTTCATTTTTTTGATTAAAAACTCTAAAAATAATCAAATTTAAAAGGTTTCTAACTGCTCCTTGATTCATTTTTTTTACTTTTCAACATTATTTTCGAAAATTGCGCAAAAAATAAAGAATGTTAATAATTTGCAAAAAAAATAACTTTGTTTTAGAAAAAAACGAAAAAAAAGATTTCAAAAAATTTTTTTTTTTCAAAATTGCTTTTTAGATTTTTTATGTATTGATCAATTCTAAAAGCAATATTTAGAAAAAAAAGTAGTTTTATAGAACCCGAAAAAAAAACAAACAAAAAATGTACGTATAAAAAAAATATTTTTGAAACCTATTTTTTTTTGTACTTTTCTCTTAAAATACGCAATAAAAAGTTAGCACATCACGTGTACATCATCATAACTAAATTGACAACACTTACTTGCAATCGAAATATTAAAAAAAAAACTCTTCGAAATGCACTATAAAGTTTGCGAAGTGCAAAAAAATTTTTTTGTACACATTCATGACTTTATGAAATTTTTTTTTTCTATTAAATTTTCTATTAAAACCATCATACAATATTTACACCAAGTGTCAAATTTAAATATTTAAATATGAATATTTAATTAATTAAAAACTAGCGCTGAGTATAATAGCCCCTGGGTGTGTAGAATAGCCCCCGATGGCGATAATCAAATTTGCATTACTAAATTTACATTATATTATGGCGTCAAATTTTAAATTATCAAATTTTTATTTAGCAAAACTATATAAAGCAGATTTTTTAGTACATTGAATTTCAAATTAATACAACCTCAACTTTAACGAAATCCATGTCAAGAAAAATTGTATAAAGAAAAAATTTTTTTAACCAGAATTGTTATTTTAGTAAATTTCGATTTAACAAAATATTTACTTAACAGTCATTGAATAAATCCATACAATTAACAGAATTTCTATTTAACAAACTTCTTAATTAAACAAAGTTTTTATTAAAGACAATTTTAATTTCAACTAATTCTTATTTAACAGAATTCTCATTTAAAGAAAAATTCTACTTCTTTCTTTTTTTTGTCAACTTTTCCAGACACAAATTTCGCCAAACTGAAACTATATTAATTTAAAATTTTAAAAACTATAAGAAAATTATAAGAGTTCTGCTAAATAGAAATTAAATCGAATTTTAGTTAAACGTAAATTGAAAATTTTGCTTAATATAAAATTCACTTTATACAATTTTGCTAAATAGAAACTTGATAATTTACATAGTATTATAATAGTAGAAACAAATGCATTTATTTACATGTTAAAATTGCGTCTTACAATATTTATAAACAAGAGGAAAAATAATTTAATCTCGAATAAAATTATTTTTTATCAAAAAAAAAAAAAAAATAGTTTGTTTCTAAACATAAAGAAAGTTTTACATATTTATATCTAAAAAAGATATAAAGTATTAGAAATTTTATCTAAATGATGAATTTTTTTTTTCGGCTACAAAGACGACTTTCATTTTATTAAATTACATATTAAGTTTTTCTAACCTCTAATAAAAAAATAAAGTGCAAACGATTAGATATGTAATTGACCTTAAAAAATTTTAATCCTCTCTTTTCCTTATAATCAGTGAAAACAGATTTTTCTCATTAACAATTTTCCTGGTACACACATAATTTATCGATATTATAAATGACACAAAATAAACATAGATTAAAATAATGGAAAATTGGCCATTAATGTTAATAATATGATAATAATCTTTTTCTTTTTTTTTTTTAATTCGCAATATTTCCTCAAGACAACAGGAATTTTTTACGTTTTGTAAGTATATAAACCCCTAGCATTTTCTAAAATTTACTCAATTCTCTTTCAGTTCTCTTGAGCGATTATTGAACTCTTGTAAGTAACATTGTCATTGTAAAAAAAATATATTTATCTATTTAATTTTTTTAGGGGCCATATTTAAATTACGTAACGCTTTTTTTTGGGAAATTTGAATCCCCTCCGCAATGAAACGTTACGTAATTAAAGTATGTCCCCTTATCCTCATAAGAAAAAAAAATATTTCTTTGGTAATAAATGTATTTTTTTTTGTTATTTTACATAAATATTTTTACTCATAAAATATATATGAGAATTCGACCCCTGAATCATCTGTGAAATTAAAACATCACTTTGACTTTTTTTTTTTTTTTTTTTTTTTTTTTTTAAGAAACTTTAGCATTACAAAAAATTTTTTTCAACTAAATGTAAAAGTTGTTTTTTTCGAAAAATTTATAATCACTTTTTATTACTTTTACACGCGAATGTTATAACATTTGTGAACTTTTAGTTCTGAGAATTGAAGAAAATTTTCATTAATTTGTAATTTTAATTTAAAAACTAGACATTGTATTAAATCATTAATTGTAATTATTCATTAAGACATTAATGTCAAGAAATCAATGAATGCAAAGTCGTAAATAAAAACAATGTTACCAATTTATTAGAATTTTGCAATTTTAATTTAATAATTAATTTTTTTATTTGAATTTTATATTTATTGATATACTCAAAAAAAAAATTTTCTTTGATTCAAAGAAGTATTTTTTTACATAGAATCAACGAAATGTTTTCTTTAATTTCAAGAAAATTTATTTAATTTAAAGAAAAAATTCTTTTTCTTCTAAATAAAATTTGAAATTGAAAAAAAATTTTTTAAATTAAGAAATTTTTTTTAAATCAAATAAATTTGTTTTAAATTAAAGAAAACTTTTCTTTGATCCAAATAAATACTTTTTTAATTCAAAGTAACATTTTACTCGGTGTCATTCTAATATTTACATTAAATAAATAATTTTAGAATTGATTTTAATTTTTATTTATTTTTCTATACATTTTGTACACATTCCAATATAAAATGTAGATAAAAATTTGAATATAACTTTAATTAAATTGTAACATTATCTATTTAATTTAAATATTAGAATTATGAATATATATTAAATTTAAATAAAAATATTAAATTTCTTTTGCTTTACAATGTATGATGATGAGAACAGGATTTTTATTTTTAAATTTAAAACTCTAAAGATATTAAATAATTTAATTTGTTCGCGATACTATGTATATAGAAAAATTTACACAAACAGACTTTAAATCTCGTTTGCGTATCAAATTATAATACTATGCAGAAAAAATCTTATAAATTTAAATTTCTATTTATAAAATTGATTTTTAATAACAGAAATATATTTATTCATTGAAATCAAAGATAACGTTTAAGATCAACAATTTTTAAAGAAATATTTTTTTTAAATTAAAAATTCTTCAAATTTTCGTCTGAAAAATATTTTTTTGTCAAAAAATGATAAAAAATATTTTTTTACATAAAAAATTTTATAATTTTCCTTTTGAAAAAATAGTTTTCTAATCGTTAATCATAAACAATGTGAACTTCAGCATTGTGAATTTGGGACGCATATGATTATGTTCTAAAAATCATTAGTTAGAATTTTCATTTTATGAAATTTCATTTATCATAATTATTTTTAAGCCGAATTTTTATTTGTTCGAATTAGTATTTTGCAGAATTTTCATCAAAACGATTTTTCATATTACAGAATTTTTACTTAACCGAAATGTCATTTAACAGAATTTCTAATTGATAGAATTTTTTATTTGTCCGAAATTTGCAAATGTCCGAACAAACAATCGATTTTGGCGCGATTTTTAAAATCAACCAATCACAATTTTATGGATAATTTTTGATTGGTTGATTTTAAAAATTGCGCAAAAAATCGATTGTTTGTTCGGCCATTTGTAATTTGGGACGAATGAAAATTTCTATCAATTATAAATTCTGTTAAATGATTTTTCGGTTAAGTAAAAATTCTGAAGTATGAAAAATCGATTATACAGAAATTATATCAAATAATAATTCGAACAAATGAAAATTCATCTGAAAGAATAAAATGAAAATTCTATGCAATGAAATTTTACCCAATAAAAATTCTTTAAAATGCCTATTATGTTAAATGAAAATTCGAGCAAATAAAAATTCTGTGAATTGAATTTTCGATTATATAAAAATTCTGTAATATAGAAAATCGCTTTGATGAAAATTCTGCAAAATACTAATTCGAAAAAATAAAAATTCGGCTCAAAAATAATTATACATGACAAATGAAATTCCATAAAATGAAAATTCTATAACTAATGATTTTTAGAACATAATCATGCGTCCCAGGAATTTTAACATAAGAATTCATATAACTAAAAAAAAAATTTTTTTTTTTCAGAAACAAAAATCAAAATGGCCAGTTTTCAATTTTGCGGACTATTGGCAATGTTAATTGCTACAATTATTATGTTACTTGCCCCTAATGCATTGGCGAAAATTGCCAATGGACAAAATTGTCAACCTGATGGAAGTATGGGCATATGTGAATCAAACTATTGTCATAAAGAAGTAGGCTGGGGTATAGGACACTGCAGATAAACAAAATATTATGCCAATGATTGCCAAATTAAAAAAAAAAATTATAAAATTAAAATTTTTTAACTATGTTGATTTCTTTATATTCAGAATTTATTTGCATTTAATTATAAAAATTTCATAAAGAGAAACTTGTGCAAAAAAATTAATTTATCATATCTGAAATAAAACTTTTTTTGCTTTTAAATAAACAAAAATTCTCATTATTCTAAAAAAGATATACCTCATAAAAATATAAATATAATATAAACGCGTGAATTATTTAAAAGGATGTTTATAATATTGTAAACTTGAATAATTGCAAACGAGTTTGCAAATAACCATCTCGTCCTAATCGAATACCGACAAGTCTAATACTTATATAGTCTCATAAAAATTATAAAGCATAGCTCTCAATTACGCTCGAGGGATACGTGTATTAAATATTAACAAGTTGAATGTGCTTTAATTTTTGCTTCTTTAAAAAAAAAATCATTTTTATAATTCCTAATAGTATATAAACTAAGATTTTTTTAGATTTCAATATACTGTTGCAAAAAAAAGTGTTCAAAATTATATATTAAAATTAAAATTATTATTTATAATATAAAATAACTTAAAAATTTCATTTTTAATCGTAGAGAGATATTTTTAATCGCAAAAATATAAACATAAAAAAAGAATGTATGACAAAAATGAATTTTTTTAATTTATGTAAATTAATAATAATAAAAAAAAAAAAAAAAGAAATTATATATTTCTATAATTAAGTACTCTTACTTGAACATTGCGATCTGGTTCAGTAAATTTCAATTTTCGTTTTCTTTAAAACCAGTTTTAGTTAAATAAAACCAGAACTGATCCAACAATTCCTTCGAGGGTTTACCGTGGCAACAACTTGCAACGGCAATGACTTTATACTATATAATATGTACCTATCAAGTTAAAGAAATTACTAGAAATCAGGGATGAGAAAAGAGAGAAATTTCAGTTTAAATATGAATTTAAAAAAGAAAAATAAGAGTTTCCATAAAATTCTTCACGTGTAGATTGTAAATTATATTAGTACTGTAATCAACGACCCCAAAAACCCCCGAGTAATGATTTTCGAGTGAATCTGATGAATTTTTAATTTTGACGTCTGCCATATTGGATCCGCCATTTTGAATTTTTGAAAATCGATTTCAGATTTGTAATCAGCGACCCCGAAAACCCCCGAGTAACTCTTTTCGAGTGAATCCGATGAGTTCTTAATTTTTCGTCCGCCATATTGGATCCGCGATTTTGAATTTTTGAAAATCGATTTCAGATTTGTAATCAGCGACCCCGAAAACCCCCGAGTAACGATTTTCGAGTGAATCCGATGAATTTTTAATTTTTCGTCCGCCATATTGGATCCGCCATTTTGAATTTTTGAAAATCGACTTCAAATTCGTAATCAGCGACCCCGAAAACCCCCGAGTAATGAATTTCGAGTGAATCCGATGAATTTTTAATTTTTGTCCGCCATTTTGGATCTGCCATTTTGAATAATAAAATTTTTTAAAATTTGACCTCGGATTCGTAATCAACGACCCCGAAAACCCCCGAGTAATGATTTTCGAGTGAATCCGATGAGTTCTTAATTTTTCGTCCGCCATATTGGATCCGCGATTTTGAATTTTTGAAAATCGATTTCAGATTTGTAATCAGCGACCCCGAAAACCCCCGAGTAACGATTTTCGAGTGAATCCGATGAATTTTTAATTTTTTCGTCCGCCATATTGGATCCGCCATTTTGAATTTTTGAAAATCGACTTCAAATTCGTAATCAGCGACCCCAAAAACCCCCGAGTAATGAATTTCGAGTGAATCCGATGAATTTTTAATTTTTGTCCGCCATTTTGGATCTGCCATTTTGAATAATAAAATTTTTTAAAATTTGACCTCGGATTCGTAATCAACGACCCCGAAAACCCCCGAGTAATGATTTTCGAGTGAATCTGATGAATTTTTAATTTTGACGTCCACCATATTGGATCCGCCATTTTGATTTTTTTGAAAATCGATTTCAGATTCGTAATCAGCGACCTCTAAAACCTCCGAGTTACGATTTTCGAGTGGATCCGATGAGTTTTAAAATTTGTTATTAATATTTGTTATTAAAATCTCAACTTTAATTAACAATATTATTTAGACATTTAGTTTTTTTTTTAAATCTATGCCACCATGTTAAAGGTTGAACATTTTTGACGCGATATTTGTACCTCGGAAAGATATTTTAAAATGGTGCATTGCCCAAAAAAATTCTTAAGTAAAAAAAAAAAACCTTGAAAATTCATGTTTTTTTATAAATAATTATCTGTAATTTGTTTAATTTTAAATTTACGGTTTTTTTAGATGCACCACTTGAAAGAGCGGTTCCTGAACCATAAGAAACGTATATTGCGAATTTTTTCTTAAGGCGCTTAGTTGGTTTAAAAAATTGCCAAACTTATGTAAAATTTTTGTACATTTGGTCCTTAAAGTGTTAAACTATGGTTTTTGGTAATACTTAAATTAAAAAAATTTTAAATGTCAAAAAATAAAAATTTAACATCAGTTTGAAAAATAGCTAATGCCATTGAATTCAGTTTACTAAAATTAGGTTTATCTCATAGGTGACAAGTTTATGCAAATTTTTAACCAGCACAATGTAGGTAATGAAAATATAATTTTCTGTTTCTACAAATTTTTTAAATTAGGTGATTCATTTTTTGGGGGTCAGTATTGTTTTGACACTAATTTTTCGCAACTGCTATATTGTAAAATTGGTTCGATAATGTAATTTTGTACGATTAAAATTCAAAATATTATTTTGTACAGTTGTTAGATTTTTAATTTTAGAAATAAATTAACTTGTTATTTTCAGTTGTATGTCTACAAAATAAACATTTTGAATTTTAATCGTACAAAACAGCGAATTATTACCAATTCTACAATATAAAAATTGTTACGAAAAATTTCTGTCAAAATCATACTGAACCAAAAAGTTAATAGATCTAATTCAAAAAATGTTTAGGAGCACAAAATTATATTTCCATGACCTAAACTGCGTGCTAGTTAAGAATATAATTGGCACCTACTAGATTATCATTCATTCATTTAATTAAATTTAAATTTTCGTTTTATGCCATTTTACCTTTTTTTTAGCTACTATCAAAAAACACAGTTTTCCCAATTATAAACTGCATTGACTTCACTTGAAACTCGTTACTTCAACGGTTTTTTTTGGGGGGGGGGGGTTGGTGATTATGAATTTAATATCAGTTTTTCAAAATCAAAAATAACAGATCCAATATGTAAAATTTTTTAAAATTAGTCACATTTATTTAAATAGTAGACAGTTTAACCGTGGGGTCTTTAGCTAGAATTTTTTGAAGCCTTGAATACTTCTGGTTATCTTTTGCATTTCTTCACAGAAGCCCATGCTTTTTACATCTGCTGCTATCCAAAGTAAAAACCTAGTAACTTAGTAAGCGACTTACTAAGTTTTTTACTTTGGACAGCAGATCTCCTTAAAGAAATTGCGAACAATGTAGTAGATATTCCATATTAGCTGATTCTTATTCTTCTTGGCTTTTTAAAAAAAGTCTCTTCACTGTTCGCTTATATTCTTTTCTTTTCGTTCTTCAGTCATAAGTTGTAGCTCCTCCTTAATTCCGTAGCCAGTATAGTTAACTGCTTACTTCTGTAGGAATGTTAGTCTTCAAGATATAAAGCCCAATCGGTACTCCTAATATTACGATCTGCTGATTACACTGTTCTGCAAATCTCAACTTTCTATTTTTTTTGCAAATAAAATGGGACATTGTGTTTTCTAACGGATTTTTCGTGCTAAACACGAATCTGGGGTCAAAAATTTCCCATTACGTCACATTTTCGAATAAATAGGAGTTGAAACCCCTAAAAATAACGTTCTTTTTTGCCATTTTTGAAAAATTGTACAGCTAAACCCTGACGTGCTACGAATTTCGCTGATATCAGAAATTAAAGGTTGAATCGCGCCCTTTAAGATGAGCTCTATGCCAAACTTTTCGCATGTACCCTTAGAGCAGGGGGTGTATTTATATCTAGGGATACAAGAAAAAAATGTAAACAGAACATAACAATTTTTAATTCAGTACATTTCAATAAAACATGGTACCTAGGCGGTTTTTGGGGTTCGCTGATTACGAATCTGAAGTCAGATTTCAAAAATTCAAAATGGCGGTACCATATTTTATTGAAATAAAATGATTTTTTAACTTTTATGTCCAACATATTGGATCCACCATTTTGAATTTTTGTAATCTGACTTCAGATTCGTAATCAGTAACCCCAAAAACCCCTAGGTACCATTATGTTTTATTGAAATGTACTGAATTTAAAATTTTTATGTTCTGTTTACATTTTTTTTCTTGCACCTCTAGATATAAGGGCATTATTCTAGAACTTTTAAACTTTGAGGTTGAAGAAAATTGATTTTTTTTTTTTTTTTTGAGGCACATTCATGAAATTAATTTTATTGGCTTTAGAATTGATCAAATGACAGAAGAAACTTTGCGTGATTCATTTTTACACAATGTTATTTTTATTTTTAATATAACGTGTTACGTTACTCGTAAAATTAGTTTTTTTGCTTATGGCCTCGTTTTTAGAAGGTAGTATATAAAATTATAAGTCTAGTTCTTGAAATTTGAAATAATGGATTAAATATGGCGGACTATTTTTACAAAATTTCTTTGATTTTTAGAAAATTTGATGTGTTAGGATTTTTAAGGCCAATGATTACAAATGCAAACTTACTTTTCATTAAAATTTGAAATCCAAATATATGATTTAATATTAAGGACACCAAAAAATTAAAACGATTTATAAGGAATAATCATTTTATTGTTGTGAAAAAGTGTGTTTTTTGTTTTATTCAAAAAATTACAAGAATTATAAATGAAAAATAAGAAATAAAATAAATCAAAAATGTAACATTTTATCTCAGAGTAGAATTTCTTGTCGAAGAGCAAGTTCTTATTTGACTATTTTCATTATTAGTCTTTTAATTAACATCTTTTTTTTGTTTCTTTAATTGTGGTACATTAACTTGAAATTTGTAATTAAAACCCAAAAAACGTACACAATGTCAATTTCAAGAAAATCCGTTAATGTATTAATTGTTTCTCGTCAGTAAGAATATGTATGGTAATAAAAGTTCATAGTTTTTATCACTTATATACTTTCTATAGATAGTGTGAAAGTTAACGATTTTTTTATATACTTTTATAAGATAGGAGAAAAGATCACAATGATTCAAAAGTACTTAGAAGTTAAATTGTAGATGTGCCATTAAAAAATTCGATTTTTTAAAATGAGTTTCACTTGGAAATTTAAAGTTTGACGTGGTCCCATTTTTTATGTATAGGTGGCACACATTCGGGCAAGGGTTCAAATTACTTCTTATCATATAGGTAATGTACCCCTGTTGTGTGGTTTCTTAAAAACCAATGTTAAAAAAATTATCTAAGGTTGATTCCTGAATTGTCAACTATATAAAAAAAAGTTATCTCGCAAGTTTGAAGGTATATAATTTTATTCCTCGGTGAGGCACATCATTAATTTAAGGACTTTTCATTTGTTTACATCTCCAAATACATCCACAAAAAACCTTAGACCATAAAAAAAAAATGTTAAAAAAGTTTCAGCGTTAAAACTAAAAACATGTAGTGAGTTCGCGCACCAAAAACAGACAAATTTACTAGTTTTATTTACTCTCATTGTTTTTTACATATTCATAATAAGTAATAAACACTTGCTACATGTAAAACGAACAAAAATTTGTTGAACTGTGGTGTTGAAAAGTTATATTTAAATTTTTTAAGGTATCATAATGAGCGACAACATAAAGTTTAAAAGTTCTAGAACAATGCCCATAAACACACCCCCTGTATGCGAACAGTTTGACATAGGGCAAATTTTAAAGGGCAGGATTCAGCCTTTAATTTCTGATATCAGCGAAATTCGTAGCACGTCAGGATTTAGCTGTACAATTTTTCAAAAATGGCAAAAAAAACACTATTTTTAGGGGTTTCAACTCCTGTTTATTCGAAAATGTGACGTAATGGGAAATTTTTGACACTAGATTCGTGTTTAACACGAAAAATCCGTTAGAAAACACAATGTCCCATTTTATTCGCAAAACCCATGCAGGGCAGTGTTATTATATTCTTAAAAATTATGAGTTTGTGATCCGATAGTGAGTTCTCTTTTGACACTTTTGATTACTGTACAGAAGATCCCAAACTATTTCGTATGCTTGGAGATCGTAAGATAACCCACACCATTTCGTAGCTACTGAAGCCTGTGGAGTCTTTAGGTCTGCCCTCGAGAAAGCCAAGAAGACACTCGCAAGAACAAAAAGAAAATAAGCAAGAAAGATCGGTCACGGTGCGCCAGAAGGAGGTTTAAATAAAAATAAATTGGCACTTAAAAATTCTTTTTGATTATGGTTCTAAGATGAATAAAAAAAACTTTTTTCAATAGGTTTTAAAATCAGCTTACGTGCCCAATTTAAAACAAATTGAGTTTTAAATATTTAAAAATAGTATTTTATGAGGAACCAGAATTTATTTAATGTATACTTATATGCGTATAGATAATAGATGTTTTAGATTTGGGTTCATATAAATTTATTAACAATGAAGTTATTTTCTTGTTTCGTTTTTATATTTATGCATTAAGAGTGTCGAACGGTATCTGAAATTCTTTGGCAAGAAGAGAGCTTTAATTATCGCTCTGAACGTGAAATAGTATTGATTTTAAAATACTTTTTTCTCGAAACACGAACACTTTTAACAAAATCAGCCAAAATCCTCATCTTATAAATTTCCTAAATCCAAAAGACTGTACGAATCCATAGAAAAACATGGTTGCAAAACAAAAAGTAGAAAAGTAATCTAATAACAGCTGCGACTTTGTGCGCCCTGCTTGCTGCTGCCATCTGACGGCGGCAGGAGGTAATGTACCTGTCATTATATTACTTTTCGTTTTGCAATCGTGTTTTTGTATGGATTCGTATAATCTTTAGGATTTAGGAAATTTATATAAGATAACGATCTCTAGCTGCTTTTGTAAAAAGTGTCCGTCTTTCGAGAAGAAAGTATTTTAAAATCAATGTTTATCATTTTCACGTTTAGTGCCGTTTTTATAGAGCGATAATTAAAGGTCTCTTCTTGCCAAAAAATTTCAGAGACCATTCGACTCTCTTAAATAAATTTTGTCACTCTTAAAATCGTTCTTTTAACATTATAATTTAATTTTTTAAAATTAGACACAAACACTACAGCAATATAATTATTTATATGTAAAATTGAAAATAAGTAATTATTTTATCATTTATTACAGTATTTATTAGATTAAATAAATTCTGATTCCCCATAAAACACTGTTTTTATATAAAAACTCAATTTTATTTAAATCGGGCACGTAAACTGATTTTCAAAACTATTGAGAAATGTTTGTTATTCATCTAAGAATCATAATCAAAAAGAATTTTTAAGTGCCAATTCATTTTTATTTAAACCACCTTCTGGCGCACCGTGGCGGTACAGGCAAAAACGCTCGAATTCACATACGACTTTTAAATTCAGATGTCACTTTCGTAGGATGTATAAATGTATAAATTTCGTAGTTCAGATAAAGGGTGTGGTTTTTAGTAGGTCAAACAGAACAAGACCTTATTATCTCGGAGTACGAACTCCAGATTTCTGTCTTAGATACCAAAGATTATGCAGATTTTGCACTTCCTAAAGCTTCTAAAATATTAATCCATATCAATTGAAGATTTTTTTTTATCATGTTCAATTAAATAGAATTTTTTTCTAGCTTATCAATAAAAATATTAAACCTGACAACTATTATCATAGTGACATATTTTTTTTCCCGATAAATATATATGTTTCGTACAAAACTATCGATTAGAATCAATTAGTAAATATGTTTTATAAAACATTTTCCTAATCGCAAAAACATAATGTTCTATATATGTATTTGACAATATAATTGTAAAATTTAAAAATTTGTAATTTTAAAATTAGACACTAAATTTTACGATGTTTTATTAAGTGCGAAAAAATACATCTCAAGTAATTTACACACTTTATATAATTTTCCTTTGAACATAAAGAAAGAAAAAAAGAAGAAAATGTAAAGCGGAAATTTTTAAATATAAGATCTCAATGTATTATAATCATAGACCATATATATTAAAAAAGTGAAATATAATCTCGTTTAGTGTTAAAAGATCAAGATTTAAAAAAAAAGACCATATAGTGAGGATTTTGCCATTACGATATGGTATATATATATATATGTTATCTCTGAATCACCCTTAAATGAAGAACGTACGATCGAAGATTGCATGCGTATTATAAGTATATACATAGAACAATATTACATTAGTATTAGTGAGTACTCTAAACTGTGGGTGAGGTGGTACACTCTGTATATACATGCTGATACCGTGTGCGGAGAAGGCACAGAGCTTGTTCTATTCTGTTCAGTTTGCCACAACTGTTCAAACCGTAAAGAACCCGCCTGAGATCTTCGCGTTAAATATCGTTTATATACACTGTATATATATAAAAACATTATATTTATATACAACATAAAAGAAAAAAAAAACAAAACAAATACTAAGTGAAATTATTGAAACTCGTTATAATTGCGCGGGTGATGACCCATTTTATTTGTTTAATTTTCTCCTATTATAAAAATCTTTAATATTATCAATGAAAAAATGTTTTTTACCAACTATTTTTAATGGTAAAAATTTTTTTTTTTTTCTTTATCTCTTTTTGAAAAAGTACATTTATATATTAAATATACGAAGGATAAAAATATTTGCATACATTTCCGGTTTTTGAACGAGTGAACTATGCTTTCGGCTTCCGACAGTATAGATGATTGTCGTGTGGTGTTAATGAACTCAACCACGTTATAAACGCTATTACATTATGACTTTCAGTTTTAACAGAATTCTGAAAAATTTATCTCTAATTTCTTTTTTTTTTTTATCATTCTTGATATCTTATTAGTTTATCGAAAATAATTATAATATAATTAAAGTGGAAGTTTGTGTATAATTAATTACTTTTTTACGCTGAGTATATTTACCCACGTGGAAAGATTACAGGGAAAAAAATCGAAATTCCGATTTTATTTTTGCAAATAAAAAAAATATTTTTCTAATAAAAATTTTTTTTTAGAAACATCTACTTTAAAATTCCATTCATTGGTTTTTTTTTGACTTGTCTTTTTTAATGTTTCGACTAAAGTGTTTTGAAAACATTTTTTTTTTTCAAATTTTAAATTTTTCCTCTAGTTTTTCTAATAAAAAATTTTTTATTTGTAAAATCATAGAGAATATTATTAGTGTTTTCGTTATTTTAGAAAATGATTTTCGAAATTCTGTGTAATTTCCCGGAAATCTTTCCTCGAAGGATTAAAAAATTTATAATTAATTTAAAATTTTCTTTTTACTATGACTAATATTTTAATATTTTTCATTATTAATAGTATTATTAATTTGGAATTTCCAAGTGACAATTTTATTGGAAAATTATTTTTGGGGACAATTTTTTTTTTCACATTCACTATGGAATAAATTTACAGAGTTAAAGGTTGCAGAGGTAGGAAGTGAAATTTTCAAAGTTCAAAATTAACTTGAGTGAGTAAATTTAATTTTATTTTTTATAATTTATTTACATGTATAAGGGAATACAAAAAAAACAAACCTTTTCGTTACATGACATATAAAAAAAATTTTTTAAATTACTAAAATTAATTTTTAAAAATTCCTGATTTATCGGTAAATATTCTACTACCTTTTTTAAACTCATAAAAAAAATTTTAATAATTGTACCAAACCAAATTATAGCATATAATTTACCCAAATAACTCCACTAAAACAAAGCAAAAAAAAAAAAAGAAAATTGTTCATAATTCTACAATTATCTATTGCAACTATATTTACAGAATTGATTGCGAAAAAAAAAACTTTAAAAATTTCTTGCGAAAAATGATAATCACTTTTAATTATATCACGGAAGTTTAAAAAAAAAAATTTAATTTTGTCAGATATAGTTCCTCTATATAAAAAATATACCAATAAATATTCAATAATTTAAATAAAAATGATTCGATAATTAAAATTCTAAGGAATTTAAGTTCTTTCACCTACTTTTTGCAACTGTCACGAAGTTTATTCCGCACATCTTATGATATAATTTTAATTTCTTTTTTCATCATTATTTATCATCTTCTCGCGAGAGACACTATTGAGATTATGCAATGATAATGATGATTGTCTCTGTTATTACGTTTGAGCTTTTTTTCTATTGTGTAATCAAAGCAAAAACCATTTTTTTTTCAATTTGCAAAGACACGAAGACACATAAATATTAGTTGTTAGAAACTATATAAATTTGAAAAATATTTTTACATTTTGCTTGAGAGTTAAATAAATATTTATTTGTTACAAATAAATTTACATTTGTAACAAATAATTTTTTTTTTTTTTTGTTTCAAGCAAATATAAATTTATAAAAATTATATTTTCTCCAAACAAAAAATTGTTTTGAAACAAATAAAAAAAATTATTTACCTCTGAGATAAATAAACATTTGTGTTTAATTCAAAAAAAAATTATAGATTTGATTGGAATAAAAAAAAAATTTCAGAATGTAATCAGCTTTTAATTACTAAAATCACCTTAATAAACATACAAAGAAACTAATAATTTTTTAAGAAATTTTTTTTTTCTTTTTCTAAACATCTATAAGTAAATTACATAAAGTATATGTCTTATAATAAGATGCAGAGTTTTTTTTTCACTCATACATACAATTTATAATGAAAATTTATTACAATGAATAGAACAAGAGAATTTTTATTCGAATTACACATAAATGTTGTTTTGCAAAAAAAAAAAAAAAATAAGTCTGTCAATTTGAAATTTGACGACAACGTCGACGATAAAAAAAGAAGAATTAAAAATGTATTAATCTTTTTTTGAAAAATGATTATTTAATTTTATGTAGAAAAAAAATATGATGGATAGATCAATATATTTTACACAAAGAAGCAAAAAGAAATCAAAACGATAAGATCAGAGACACTTTAGGAATAACAAAAGAAATATTGAGCAATGTTTAAAACTTATTGAATATACTTAATTATGATTATATCGTCACGAATAAAATATAAGTTTGTCACCCTTTTTTCGTGTCAGAAAAAAAAAATTCCAATGAATTAAATTATAATGTATTCTAAAATTGAAACCTTGTGAATTAACATAGAAAATAAGAGATTTAATTATTAAAAAACATAGAAACTTTCAATTTTGAAATTTTAAACTACATTCCATCAGAAAAAAAAGTAATCTCATATTGAGCGGAAATTTACAATTTATAATTTGTCTCATTTTATACTCTTAATCTTAAATTTCCCATTTCATATTTTCGTTTTTTTTAAATTAAATTTAATTATTCAAAATGTTAAAAATTAATTTGTTCACACTTCCCAGATAGCACGTATAAGCTTGCAGCAATCTTGCGGCAAGCTTGCTGCGAAATATTGCCAACCTTGCACGGCAAACTTGTCGCAAGCTTACTGCAACCTTCAAATGTCCCACCTGATCCTAACTTGCATGGTAAACTTACCGAAAGATTGCAGTGTAAGGTTACTGCAAGATTGCACAATAAGATTATCGCAAGATTGCTCAGAAAGCTTGCACGGTAAGCTAGTAGCAAGGTTGGTGCAAAGTTGCCAAATAACCTTGCTTTGAATCTAAAAAAATTTTTTTTTAATGTTTCGTCTTTATATAAGAAAATTTATATAATAAAATTATATAAATTAGACGAAACATTAAAAAAAAAATTTTTAGGTTCAAAGCAAGGTTATTTGGCAAGCTTGCACCAACCTTGCTACAAGCAATCTTGCGATAATCTTATTGTGCAATCTTGCAGTAACCTTACATTGCAAGCTATCGATAAGCCTCGATGCAAGCTTGGGTCAGGTGGGACATTTGCAGCTTGAAGTAAGTTGGCGGCTAGTTTGCCGTGCAAGGTTGGCAATATTGCGCGGCATTCTTGCCGAAAGGTTGCTGCAAGCTTACGTGCTATCTGGGTTTCACTGAAATATTTTTAAAGTTTAAATTGTCTGGTTCTATAAATTCCAATTAAGTAGTATATACTTCCATTATAAATTAATATTTTAATTTTGTAATAATAAAAGTTACGTACAAAAAATTATAATAATAATTTGAATTATTTTTTTACTTTAGTATTATTTATTTTAAATAAATAAATAAATAAATAAAATTCAATTTAAATTTCAAGTATTATTTTTTATCGAGGATAAAAGAAACAGATTCGACAAAAATTATTTCATTGAAACTATAATAGAAACCAGGGACTGTCTCGAAATATTTGTGTCGTGTCCGTGTAGTGTCGCGACTCGACACGTTTGAAAACAATTAAAAGTATCGTGGCGAGACCCGACACTTTTAAAACTTTTCAAACGTATCGTGGCACGACCCGACACAGTTAAGAAATTCATAATTGTATCGTGGCGAAGCACGATACGTTTAGAAATTTGTAATCGTATCGTGGCAGGACTGGACACGTTTACGAATTTCCAAAAGTATCGTGGCGCGACTAGACACAATAAAAATTTGAGAATCGTATCGTGGGGCTGAACTACACGACACAATACAAAAATAATTATGAATTTCGTGTCGCATACAATGAAACTTGTTGATCAACATCTTGACAGTTTATTAATCCTTCAATAACATTTCAAGAAATAAAATTAAAATAAAATAGATATAGATTGAATATATATCAAATGTAAATTATTAAATTTATATTATATTATATTATATATATTATATTATATTATATTATATTATATTATATTATATTATATTATATTATATTATATTATATTATATTATATTATATTATATTATATTATATTATATTATATTATATTATATTATATTATATTATATTATATTATATTATATTATATTATATTATATTATATTATATTATATTATATTATATTATATTATATTATATTATATTATATTATATTATATTATATTATATTATATTATATTATATTATATTATATTATATTATATTATATTATATTATATTATATTATATTATATTATATTATATTATATTATATTATATTATATTATATTATATTATATTATATTATATTATATTATATTATATTATATTATATTATATTATATTATATTATATTATATTATATTATATTATATTATATTATATTATATTATATTATATTATATTATATTATATTATATTATATTATATTATATTATATTATATTATATTATATTATATTATATTATATTATATTATATTATATTATATTATATTATATTATATTATATTATATTATATTATATTATATTATATTATATTATATTATATTATATTATATTATATTATATTATATTATATTATATTATATTATATTATATTATATTATTTCCACGAATTTCTGTTTTCATCCTATACTGTTTATTTTCATGTATTTCTTTTTGTATTATCAACAAATTATTGTCTAGTATGTAAACAAACCACACTTAAAATTAAAAATAATTTTGTTCAATAAAATTAATAGATTAATTTAATTTATTAACATTTTAATATTATTATGATTTAAAGAATTGAAAAAAATGTAAGACTTGATTACGAATTCAATATCAGTTTTTTAAAATTCAAAATGGCGGATCCAATATACCGAATCAAAATAACTAAAAATGGGCAAATTCGTCTAAACCATGTTACCCAGGGGTTTTCGGGGTCGCTGATTACGAATCTGACATCAGTTTTTCAAAGTTCAAAATGGCGGATCCAATATGGCGGAAGACAAAATAAAAAATTAATCGGATTGTATTAAAAACCTATTACTCGGGGGTTTTCAGGGTCATTGATTACGAATTGTGACAAAAGTTTTTTAAAATTCAAAATGGCGGATCCAATATGGCGGACAACGAAATAAAAAATTGATCGGATTGGATTGAAACCGGTTACTGAGGGGTTTTCAGGGTCGCTGATTACAAATTAAAATTTTGGGGCACCACAGATCCCAAATTAAACTTTTGGGGCACCACAGATCCCAAATTCAAATTTTGGGGCCCCACAGATCCCAAATTAAACTTTTGGGGCACCACAGATCCCAAATTCGAATTTTGGGGAACCACAGATCCCAAATTCAAATTTTGGGGCACCACAGATCCCAAATTCAAATTTTGGGGCACCATAGCTCCCAAATTCAAATGTTGGGGCCCACAGATCCCAAATCTCCATTTACTGAATGGACATTTTCCCGAATGGACATTACATGTCCCATTAGTTAACATGCCCCTATAATTGACATGTCCCAGTAGTTGACCTGTCTCAGTAATTGACATGTCCCAATAGTTGACATGTCCATATAGTTGACATGTCCCTATAGTTGACATGTCCCTATAGTTGACATTAAAATTTAAAGCGCCATGAAACCCTAGATGTAGGCGCAATTGCGCCTAGTTCTTTTCCTATTTTTAATATTCAAAATGGCGGATCTAATATGCTGAACAATTTTTTAAAAAGGATCGGATCTTTTGAAACTTGTTACTCGAGCGTTTTTTGGGACATTTTGAATTTTGAAAAACTTTTGTCACAATTCGTAATCAATGACCCTGAAAACCCCCGAGTAATAGGTTTTTAATACAATCCGATTAATTTTTTATTTTGTCTTCCGCCATATTGGATCCGCCATTTTGAACTTTGAAAAACTGATGTCAGATTCATAATCAGCGACCCCGAAAACCCCTGGGTAACATGGTTTAGACGAATTTGCCCATTTTTAGTTATTTTGATTCGGTATATTGGATCCGCCATTTTGAATTTTAAAAAACTGATATTGAATTCGTAATCAAGTCTTACATTTTTTTCAATTCTTTAAATCATAATAATATTAAAATGTTAATAAATTAAATTAATCTATTAATTTTATTGAACAAAATTATTTTTAATTTTAAGTGTGGTTTGTTTACATACTAGACAATAATTTGTTGATAATACAAAAAGAAATACATGAAAATAAACAGTATAGGATGAAAACAGAAATTCGTGGAAATAATATAATATAATATAATATAATATAATATAATATAATATAATATAATATAATATAATATAATATAATATAATATAATATAATATAATATAATATAATATAATATAATATAATATAATATAATATAATATAATATAATATAATATAATATAATATAATATAATATAATATAATATAATATAATATAATATAATATAAAAATTATATATTATTGTATATTATTTTGTATGCATATTATTATTAGTATTATTATTATTCCATATATACTATATTATAATAGATAATACATAATAGATAAGTTTAAATTAATTGAACAATTTTTTTTCATGCGACACGACATATTTATGCAGAATTATCGTGTCGTGGCAAGTCATGATACGATACGATTCTCAAATTGTTAATGTGTCTAGTCGCGCCTCGATACTTTTGGAAATTCGTAAACGTGTCCAGTCCTGCCACGATACGATTACAAATTTCTAAACGTATCGTGCTTCGCCACGATACAATTATGAATTTCTTAACTGTGTCAGGTCGTGCCACGATACGTTTGAAAAGTTTTAAAAGTGTCGGGTCTCGCCACGATACTTTTAATTGTTTTCAAACGTGTCGAGTCGCGACACTACACGGACACTTTCTTAAAATTCAACAACATTTCGTGTCCGAGACAGTCCCTGATAGAAACACAATTGAAAGTGCAATTGAAGGTTTCATTGAGCGATCGTTTGTCATCAAAGGAGTATCATTATTATTTTTATTTTTTTTTTCAATTGATTTTATTTTTTTATTTTCTCATTGCATTAGGTGTTATTTATCTATATATATATATATATATATATGTTAACTCATGATTCCAAAAATTAAAAACTATAATGAGCTTTAAATTAAAAATAGAATTATTTGAATTTTTTGTTTCTTCATTTCCTTTGAAATTCGTGCTTTGAATTGACCATTTTTAAAGTGGGTTATCAAATCATTATCATTTTCTCAAGGAAACTATTATATGTATATATAGATATGTACATTTTACTTAATCACGTTACTTTGAACTTCATTTTATTTTTTTGATTATTTATTAAAATAATCTTAATTTAATGATTTATCTTTATTTAACCCAAAAATTATATTGATTAATTTTGAAAAAAAACAGTTTTTTCCGAAATAAATAAATTTAAATAAATTTTATTATATTTTTATAATATGAAAATTATGAAATTTATGTATGTACATAAATTTAGTATGAAAATAATTTAAAAATATATGTAAACTAATTAATTTTTTTTTTTTTCGTAAAATTTAAATTACTAATATTAGTAATACAATAAATATAAATGACTTTTCGTTAGTTCTTTAATGAAATATATTATATACTACGTATTCAGAATAAAGAATTGAAAAATATGAATAAATAGAACTTAAATTCATATATAAATTCGTCTTTTTCATGAATAATCCACTTGAATAATTAGATGTTATTTATGAGCTTGATGCTTTTGTTTCTTATAATAATGTAATTATATAATTTTGATAGATTAATGATAGAGAATAGTGATTCATTGGCAGATTCATGTTATTAGTAACTTTTTTAAAAGCATGCAAGTGAATGCTAATAGATATGTAAAACAATAAACAATATTTTTTATTTTACAAATATTTACATAAAAAAGAACTTGTATGCAATTTAAAAATTTTTCAAATATAGCTATTTTATATCTAAAATTTAAATAAATAAATCTTATAAATAAATAAATTCTACATAAAGAGAATATAAAGTGTTTTTTTTACGTATATACTATTAAACTATTTCCATATTCCATATACTAAAAAAAATTTATATATATATATATATATATACATAGAACTTAAGTGGGAAAAATCGCATTGACTTTGACCTGCCCTTAAGGAGTAATGGTACATGTCAACATAACCTCAAAACTGAGAAATTCTTTTTTAACAATTTAACATAAATAAAATTATAATTAAAATTAATTGCAATCAATTTTAAAAAACCTTGTTATGCATTTTGCAGAAAAACGATGTTGATTAAAAATCTTTATTTAAATTATTTTTTTTAATCTTTAAATGTTTTCAACTTTTAGCTCAGAAAAAAATCACAATTTTTATCTAATTTTAATAAACAAGGGTAAAAAATTGTGATTTTTGTCAGAGCTGAAAATTAAAAAACATTAAAATGTCAAAAAAAATAATTATTATTTTAAAAAAGATTTTGAATCAACATCGTTTTTCTGCAAAATGCATAGGATCTTCTAAAATTGATTGCAATTAATTTTAATCATAATTTTGTTTAGATTAAATTGTTAAAAAAAAAACAATTTCTCAGTTTTGAGGTTATGTTAACGTGTACCATTTCTCTTTAATCGAAGAAGAAAATTTCAAACTACTAATTTTAGCTATTTTTCTTTCTCAAAATAAGAATAAAATCATCTACCATGAATAGAATAAAATATTTTTATATTTTAATACAAAACATCGTGTAAAGCTATATATCGCAGAAAAAAGAAATTTCCTCTCAAAATGAGATAAAATTTTTCTGATACGAAAATAAATTAAATGTATAACGACGTAATAAGAAATGTATGCAATTATTTTCTTCCTTGAAATTATATAAATTTTCTAATTAAAAAAAAAAAAATAATAATAATTTATTACTGACTACATACTTTTTCGTTCTAATTTCAAAATGGAAGTTGTACTGATTATTGTTTTGTATCGTCTATAGATTGATTTATGGGGATAATTACACTCAGAGGAATCAATCGTCATCACTATGACTATAATGATTCTGAAACTACTGTTTATCTGGAATTGAAATTTATACTAAGTGTGAAATAGATTAACAATATTAGAATCATTTAATAAAATAGAGACAAAAAAAAATAATTATTTTTTTTTTTAATGGACAAAATGGATAACACCATTCAAAATGTCTCGATAAACGAAAAAATGGCCTTAGATCAAAAGATTTTGATCAAACAGGCGACACTACAACATCTCACAAAAATGGCACCTGTTGACATTGAATTCACAGACCTCACTTATTCCGTGCCGACTGGCAGAAAAGGTATGTTAATTTTGCTCCTATTTACTTTTTTATAATTTCTTATAATTAACATTTATATATTTTTATAATTGTATAAAGGATCCACAGCTTAAAATTATATATTTCACTCAAAATTGTTTGCAATATTTTTGAAAATCAATCGAGCAAAAATATTATAATAATAAATAAAAAATTTAATAATTTATAACGAAAGTAATTATCAACAATATTAATTATTACTAAATTATCATATATTATTATTATATTATTAAATTAATTTTGTATTATATTTAAAATGCTTTCCCACAAATAAATAAATAAATATAGTTAATATTACACGGTAAAAAATTTTTCACCTGGAACAGCAATAAGTTTCTAGAGAAATATATCGCTATTCCAAATAAAGATTTTTTTCATGTAATAATAATTATTACTATTAATTATTACTAATAATTACAATTATTGATTAAAATAAAATTTTACAAGACCTTTTACGGATTTAATCATTTATTGTAGTAATATAATTTTTAACAACGTTTGAATATAATAAGTATTCTTATCAGGTCTATGTTGTTATTATATTATAATATTATCATTATGGATTGATAGAATTAATTTATTTTATTTTTAATAAATAGAAAACAACTCTAAAAGAGGATTTCCCCTTTTATTAAAACTACATTTTGATTTTGGTTTTTTATTAAAAAATTATTAAAGAAAAATGTGGTAAAAAAAACGAGGTGAAAACATGTTAAAAAAATGAGGTTATGTAATTCTTCTTCTGATTACATAACCTCACTTTTTAAACATGTTTTCATCACGTTTTTTTTACCATGTTTATTTTACAAAATTTTATTAAAATAATTTTTTAATAAAAAATCAAAATGTAGTTTTAATATAAATAGAAACCCTCATTTAGAGGTATTTTCTATTTATTAAAAATCAAATAAATGTTTCTTTGACCCTATATCAATGTTAGAATTTCTTTGATTTAATGCACAAATTTCTTTCATTCAAAGAAAATTCAAAATTTTTAATTCAAAGTTTCTTTAAATCATAAAATTTTCTTTAAAACAAAAATTTTTTTTTTATTTTAAAGAAAATTTTATTTTGAATGAAAGAAAGCAAATCAAAGAAATTAGTTTCTTTAAGGCGGGAAACCACATTACGACGCTGTTTTTTAGCCGTTTTTTGGGATTTTTTTAAAAAGGAATACAATTTTTTAAATGAATTGCAAGAATGACATTATGTTGCGCATATATTTATCTGTGTCTCACAATTTTTTAAAGCATTTTTATTAAAAACATTTCAATTTAGCAGCCATTAAACCTGGAGCTGTGCCGTCTGAGTTTATGATTGCTGTGCAAGGTGGACTCCACAAATTTGATCTAAAAGCAAAAAAATGAAGGTTATTTACATTTTATACAAATTTAATTATTAATTGAACTAACTTTTAAGTGAAAATATTGAAAATTGAAAAATTGACACTACTTTTAAGTTAATGTTTGATTTTTGGCATATTTTTTTGCGTCTTTGAGATTAAAAAAGAAGGTATTAAATTTTTTTCATCTTTCTAACGTTTAGTTCACTTAATAATAAATTTAATAACGAACAATTTGCAAATTTTCTTTTTTGAAATTGGTCAATAACATTTTGAGCTATCCTGCACAGCAATTTCAAAAATCCTGTTTCGAGAAAAATGCGTTTGAAAAAAGTATCAAAAATTTGAAAATAATGATAAGAAAAAAACCATTTAAAGTGCTTACACTTTAATCTGCTATTTCTGCACCATACATTAGTCCTTCCTCTTCTTCATAAGTCAAATCATAAATTCACAAAGGGACTTCCTCAGCGACGCCGTTACCAACCTGCTTCGCTACTCGGTGCAAGCTTCATTCATTGCCTGTAGCACAGACAGGACACCGAATTTAGCTGTAAAAACTTTTTCAACATACTTTTGAATACATAAGCTGACTATTTATGCAAAAAAAAACAATTCGATTTTTTGAACCCCGTAATGTGGTTTCCACCCTTAAATCAAAGAAATCTTTTCTCTGGGTGTACAATAAATGATTACATCCGTAAAAGACCTTGTAAAATTTTATTATTATTATTATTATTAATAAATAATAAACTAAAAATTAATAATTTAGTAAAACCAAGCTTAATTAGAAATAATCAACTGAATAAATTGATGTTTGCGAATTAAAAAATATCGATATTTTCTAAATACAAGAAAGTTAAAGTTCAGGAATTGCATTAGCGTTTGATGAAAATGTTAAAGATAATCAAATCTTTTGGGTCGAAGTTTCCTTGGCAATGATATGAAGTTCATAAACGGAGTTATTAGCTAATTATCACATATACAAGTGATGCTAATTAAGATTCTATTCCGAGTGAACTTTATTTTTTTTTTATTCTGTATAACAGAAACACTCAGTCTAGGGATGCACTTTATTTTTTAATTCACTATAACAAAATCACGATTATACCTATATTTAATTTGAATCAATTGACCTCTTTAAAAACTCACTTTAAACATTATTTTACTTTATCTTTTAAATGTAACAACTCTCTGATAAATCAATATATAGTATTCATTTCATATTTGTATTAAATGATAATTAGTTAATTAATTAATTAATTAACTAATTATTAATCTTCATTATTATTGTTACATTATTATTTTTACAATTTTTTATAATTGCAAAAAATGTTTAAATTATTGACTCAAATAAAAAAAACAAGTAGGAGGTCATTATGTTCATTTCATAAACATTTTCCTTCCTTATTGTGTGAAGAAAAAAAATTGCTTCCTCGTGGAGAAAACAATAAATTTTTTTAATTTATTTAATTGATTCAAATTGATTTTTTTTTAAACATTTCGAGTTGAAACATGTTTTAAGTCGCTATTACATTCAGAACTATGTATATAACTTCTACAAAAGTTTATGAATTTTAATTTGTCAATAGGGGTTTTTTTTTTGTTGGGTTATTCATGTTCTTTTCAATGACAAAAAAAATGTTTAACCTTATTTTTAACAATTGGGTGTGCGAGAAAATATTAAAAACAGTGCAAAAAAAATCGATTATTTTATTTTTAAACCCAATGTTGTCCCATTTTTATATTTTATACAGTTTTGTTAAAAAAAAATCTCAATTTTCTAAAAAAAGTAAGAAAAGAAATTTTTAAGACGGAATAAGAGGTTGAAATTGAAAAATAAGGGTTAATTTTTGTAAAAAATTTTGTTTGAAAAAATGAAAAACTCTTATTGACAAATTAAAATCCATAAAATTTTGTAGAGAAATTATACGAATTTGAAAATAACGCAGTGTTAATTAAAAACTCAAAACTTCAATCTCCATTTACTTTTTATAATTTTTAAGAAAATAAGTTTATATTTCGAAATTTTGTTACTTTCATATAGGACAACAATTTACTAAAGTATCAAGCCTAAAATCTGTTTAATTAAATAAACATTTTTCACTTGGAAATAATTTTATTAATATTAAGATTCATTTAAATACATTTTTTGAATTAAACATTTTTCACATTTCTGTACTGTATCCCATGTAAATTCACTAAAAGTGTTATCCATATTACTTTAAACTTTTAACTTTTTTTTTTTACCTTACTTTATTACTTTACCCTTATTCCTTTAAATATATTGTCTTTTTTTGTAAACACTTCCTCTGTTATAGAATTACAGTAGTAAAGATGATTATTACCCTCTTTAATACATATTTCTGCAATTCGAAAGAAATAAAATTAAACTTTTATGTTGTAATTTACTGTTAATTATTTTTATTACATTGGTTACATTAATAAAATCCTTAGTTACCTTCCGCCTTCTTTTTAGAAGTATATACTTCACCCTTTCTTCCCAAACATATATAACGCGATTCCTTTTCTTTCACGATGCATTCCGCTAAAAAAATTTATTTTATAAATGGACATTTAATTTTTAAATAATTTTGTAAATTTTAATATTTACAATTTGAACAAACTTAAATCACTAATACCTATGTCCAAAGATCTAGAATAATGTATGTAAAATTTTTAAACTTTTACAACATATTTTTTAGGATATTAGCTTTAATTTGCTTTTTTGAAACTTCAAAATTGTTTTGTGTTTCCTGCAATATGTTAAAAAAATGTCCGAGCATGTTTTACTATACAACTCAATAGCGAGGTGGCGAAAAATGATGATCGACGACTGAGTTGTAGTAAAACATGCTCGGAAATTTTTTTAACAAATTTCAGGAACCACAAAACATTTTTTAAGTTTCAAGAAAGCAAATTAAAACTAAGATCTTAAAAATTAGGTTGTAAGAGTTTAAAATTTTTCCAAACATTATTCTAAATTATGCTGGGAATTAAAAATATTAATACGAAAGTAGGAAAATTGGATATTTTTTTCTTTAACTCTTTCCGATGTTACAATCGCTCCAAAAAGTAAAAAAAAAAAATATAAAAGTTCTTGACATACATTCAGAAACAGAATTTTATCAGCCATCTAAGTTTTAAGTCTCTAACTTTTTTCTAACTTAAAATATCTTACTTTAAAGTCAGCATCAAATTTACACTCTACGCACGTCAAGCGTACCGACAATTTTTGACGGTACTGTATATTTAAAGAAATTTTTTCAATTTTAGTTTCTATATGTTTTTTGGCTTGTTTGTTCTTATGTAGTTTATTTTTATAAATGGTGTATCAGAAAACTCGATATTAGAGCGAATGCAATTCGCACTTGGCGAATATAAAATATTTTTATTTTTAATAAATATATCATAAGTTAAAAATAAAATCAAATTATACCTTCAATATCTTCCCTTTTTTCTAAACCAATGTGAGATAAATATGTGTTACAGTAGTACCGACCAGAAGCACTCTTTCTAATACATTTTTCTGCAATTTGAAAGAAGTAAAATATTATACTTTTATTTAGTAATTTACTATTAACTATTTTATAATATTATAGTTTAAGAAGATCCTTAGCTACCTTCTGCTTTCCAAAAATCGTCAAATCGTCGAAATCCTCCTATACATGTAAAATATATATTTCTCGAAAGCAATGAGTGTAGTACACTTATTACGCATTTATCTAAAAAAAATTGAATTTTTATTTTATAAATTAATATTTTATTTTACCTTTTGATCACCAATTAAAAATCAAACAAAACTTTACCAGCAGCTTTACTTCTCTTATGGAAACTTTTTATACCATAAATCAAATCCATGTCATCACCAGAAACTAATTGATAATTATTAATAATAATATACAAAATGAAAGAAATTACAGAAATTGTTAGTTTCATGTTGAATATTCAAATCTATTTTTGTAGATATAATTTTACAAAGTATAAAACAAAACTACAAAAGTGTCGTCAGAGAAATTTATTTCTGCGTTGTAATAATTTTTGTATACAAGTAAATCTATAGTTGAATTGCATTGCGATTTATACTGTAGATACTTTTTTATAGTTTTTTTTTGTAAGAATTCATGTTTTTTTTATCGTCAAAAAGAACGGCATAAAAAAATGTTAGTCATTTCATTACAAAATAATCTCCAATTTCTATTTCCTACACGGAGAAAAATGAAAATTGAGATTTTGAACTGAGTATAGAACAATTTCAACAATTTCAAATCGAATTTCTCTCCGTGTAGCACAGTAAATTTTTTTTATAGAATAATGGATAATAAATATTTATTTGAAAATATGAAAATATTTAAAGAACCTAAATTAATTTTTCATTTTATTAAATATATTAATTTCAGAAAACTTCCAGACATAAATTGCGAAAAACCTTAACAGTCATCAACATATGAAGCATTCTATTTCTCTGAATCCACTGAAAAGTCCATTACAATCTTTAGATGGAAGAAACTAGAGAATCCAAGCTTTCTTCTTAGACAATTTTCAACAAAATTGCAGATGACATGTTTTGAGATATCAGTACTTGTTTTTAAATACAAATTAAACTAGGAAATAATTATTTTAAAAAAAGCTTATTATTATCTGAAAGCTTGAGAAATTCACTATTAAAAGCATTATTTACATTTTATATTTAAAGTTTTTTAAATAAAATAAATTATATATGAAAAGTGCTCAACACGCGATAGTCTTTTGCAGGTGGTACGATTTGAAATAGAATGCCTCATATAATAAAATTTTAAACATTAAAAATAAAAAAAGATTACAGTTTGCTTTTTCATATAAAAAGTTTATGTTTGTCAATAGTTTTCAATACATAATTGCTTTAAAATTTAAATAAGAATAAATATATTTTAAAAGAGAATCATCGCAAAATTTATAAAGTAATCTTTGTAATGATCTTTATACATTAATTTTACACAATCAATTAAAATTTTGTCAAGATTAATATAATTTTAAACATATTTTTAAAATAGTATTTTTTTATTTTTTCTGTAGTTATCAAATGTATAAAATTTAATTGGATTTTTAGTGGACCTTGTCCATATTGAAAATTCAATGTTATATTCGCGATATAATTTTTATGCGCGTGGATGATTTAATTTATCTTGTAAGGAAAACAATATTTTTTTGACATTTTTATGAAACAAAAAATATTCTCTTTCCGGGTTTGATAATGACAATCTTTTTACTTTTTAAATCTGATATATACGAAATATAACCCTATTATAAGCAAACACGGAAAATGCGATAAAAGTTTTTATTCACTATTATTAATCAATTAAATATGTTATTAATTACAATACTCTCTAAATCTGAATTAGTAAAAATGTTTACTAATTTAAATTAGTGACTCACTTTTTGCTTTAGAATTAGTTAAATTTTACGAATAAATTGTACTTAGTAAAAGTTACTAATAATTAGTAAAATTTTACTCATTCAGAAGCAAAATGTGAGTCACTAATTCAAATTAGTAAACATTTTTACTAATTCAGATTTAGAGAGTAAATGGATTTTTAATAAATAATATAAATTTTAAATAATCATTTTCACCACAGTTTCATGTAAAAAAATTACTAATAATTTAAACATTTTTACTAATTTTAAATAAGTGATTTAATTTTTATTAATTCAGATTTAGATTAATTTATTTATATTTTTTCAATTAAAAAAAAAAAAAAAAAAGAAACCATCTAATTTGATATTTTTAACAATGAGATAGTTTTGATAAATTAGTATTTCGCTCGGATATCACAAACCCGTCTTTTAACATAAATTTAAAAGAATAAGCTCACGTCATATAAAAAGAAAAATTATAAAAAGCTATCAGACGTGAAAGAAAACAAAGAATTAAACATTTTCGTCATCTTTTCAAACAAACATTCTTCAGTGTTCTTAAGTATATTTTGTATGTATATGTTTAATTCATTATTTTGCTTTATGACATGTTTTTTTTTTTTTTGGTTTTTTTTTTGTTTTAAATGACGTGAGCTCTTTCATTTAACTTTTATGTTATCAGTACCGAAAAGAATATTCTAAAAAAGTAAATATATTTTTTCTCATTTAATTAATATTTCAATAAAATTTATTCTTGATTCAATATATATTTTACTCTCAAAATAAGAATATATTTTACATACGCAATGTATAAATGTTTTATTTTAATTAAATTTGGAATATATTTTTATTATTGTGTCTATTTTTATATTTATTACTTTCAGAGCGTATAGGAGAGCATTCCATGTCAAATTTTCATTCAAAAATTATTTTTTATTGAAATAATTTTTTTTCCAATTTTTTTTACATATATATATATATATATATATATAAAAACTAAGAGAACACTTTTTTCAAAGCTAGGGCAAATTTTTAAAATATTCGTCATTTTATGTATGTATTTCTTTTTTTTTGGTCCATAACAAAAAAAATACTTTTTTCCTAATCAAAGAGCATCAGATTCACTTGAATTTGGGTCGCTGCTTACGAATTTGATGTCAATTTTCAAAAATTCAAAATGGCGGATCCAATATGGCGACCGAATTTTTAAATTTTCATCGAATTTATTTGAAACCTGTTATTTGGGGGTTTTTGGGGTCCGCTGATTACGAATTTGAAGTCAATTTTTTCAAATTCGTAATCAGCGACCCCAAAAACCCCCAAGTAACAAGTTTCAAATAAATTGGTTGAAATTTTAAAAATTCGGTCGCCATATTGGATCTGCCATTTTGAATTTTTGAAAACTGACATCGAATTCGTAATCAGCGATCTAATAAACCGCCGAGTGACGAGTTTTAAGCGAATTCAATCAACTTTTTAAATTTCGTCCGCCATATTGGATATGCCATTTTGAATTTTCAAAATCTGACTTCAGATTCGTAATCAGCGAATTATAATAAACAGAAAAGATTACAAGAAAAAATTATATAATTTTCCTACTTTCGTACTAATGTTCTTAAGGGGTTACATGGGTTTTGAAGGCCAGAAAAAGCACATTTTTTCTAATTTTTTGTTATTACACAGAACGAATTATTTTATTGAAACTTTTACGCATATAAAAATGTATCATCTACAGAATATTTTCTGAAATTTATATTAAAAATGATTAAATTTTGAGCCGTTGAGAACTGTTTAGCTGAGTTTCAATAAAATAATTCGTTCTGTGTAATAACAAAAAATTAGAAAAAATGTCCTTTTTCTGGCCTCCAAAACCCATGTAACCCCTTAACTCCCGGTATAATCTAGAATAATGTATGGAAAAATTTTAAACTCTTACAACATAATCGTTAAGATTTTAACTTTAATTTTCTTTTTCTGAAACATATTTCAGGAGCCACAAAACATTTTTTTAAATTAGAAAAGCAAATTAAACCTAAAACCATTTATTTGGCATAAAAAAAATTTCAAAATTCGAGGTACAAAATAGGAAATATTTTATGGACATAAAAATTTTGAATGTTGCTACATTTTCAAAAAACCTATTCGAGATTAAAACCAACTGTGCGAGTGAAATAATTCCATGAAAGTTTAGCTCGTTTTTAAGTTAAAAAAAATCTCTCATGAATTTCATGATTTCTCGTAAAAGCTCCACAATATAATAATAACGAGGCGCACAAGATCTGAAAGTTAGTGTATGTCGCTCGTTATAGTATAAGATGACATTAAAGTTGTGCAAATAAAATCAAATAATAGATTTGAAAGTTTTCTTTTAAAATATACGCGTCTCTTTCTTTAATTATTTCGCGTTATTTATTATTTATACTTTGTTGAAGGAATCTACTGAAAAGGCGCGCGTATTCTATTTAATGAGCAACAAAGCACAATTGTATGTTTTCTATGCATTAAATTATAGGAAGTGAACTCTCATTGCGCCTTAACATGAAAATACTCTTTTCACACTCGCACTTGACGGGTCCCGCGTATATTATTTGTCACGCTTGACAGAAGAGGCAAAAAAATAGCAACGTAACAAGCACATCATGAATTTCATTTTCCCAGTTAATATATAATAATAATTTAACAAAAATTTCCTCGGTCATCTCAAAGCCGATATATTATATAATCTTTCGGAGTTAATAATAATAATAATAATTATTATTATTATAAATAATAATGATAATAATAATTCAAGTACAAATATATTACATATGATGTATAAAGTTTATCTTCCGCATTGCAATTAATGCACTGTCAGTAACTAGTTTGAGGTCAACGCATTTATGTCTGTACCTATATATTATATATACGATTTCTTTATGCGTACAAAGAATCTTTATACTCTTTGATAAGTATTGCGTGATAATGAAAACCGAAGAAATTTGAAAAAAATTTTATAAATGTTTATTTCCATTTAACAAGGTACTATTGTGCAATATGATAAGCGATTTATATTTAATTTTCTTGGTAATTATTTTCATATTATACAAAGACAAAGAACTTACGAAAATTAGATGAAAAAAAAAAATAATACGAGGAATTTATGCGGAAAATATTATTACACTCTTAATTATACATGTTTTTATGTAAACATATTTATTAATTAATTTATCTTTTTTTCCTCTTATATATATGTCGTATATTTTCACATATTTTTTTAATGTTATAAAATCATTACTTATCAATTTATACAAAGTATAAAGTCATTTATACGCATAAAAAATGGTATACAAGA